TCATAGTTTCATAGAATCATAGAATCCCAGGGGTTGGAAAGGACCTCGAAAGATCATCTAGTCCAACCCCCCTGCCAGAGCAGGGTCACCTAGAGCACATCACACAGGAACGTGTCCAGGTGGGTTTGAATGTCTCCAGTGAAGGAGACTCCACAACCTCCCTGGGCAGCCTGTCCCAGGGCTCTGTCACTCTTACAGTAAAAAAGTTTTTTGGATATTCACCTTGAACCTCCTATGCTCCAATTTGCACCCATTACCCCTTGTCCTATCACTGAGAAAAGCCTAACTCCGTCCCCCTCACACTCACCCCTTACATATTTGTAAACATTGATGAGGTCACCCCTCAGTCTCCTTTTCTCCAAGCTAAAGAGACCCAGCTCCCTCAGCCTTTCCTCATAAGGGAGATGTTCCACTCCCTTAATCATCTTCGTAGCTCTGCGCTGGACTCTTTCGAGCAGTTCCCTGTCCTTCTTGAACTGAGGGGCCCAGAACTGGACACAATACTCCAGATGTGGCCTCACCAAGGCAGAATAGAGGGGGAGGAGAACCTCTCTTGACCTACTAACCACACCCTTTCTAATGCACCCCAGGATGCCATTGGCCTTCTTGGCCACAAGGGCACATTGCTGGCTCATGATTTCCCCTTATCCTGAAATGCACCTATCCTCAAGACACAGGCAAACCCCTCCATCCAAGACGCTGAGTACAGGATTGCATGAAATCAGACAATTGCACCACGATTTGGCAACACACACACGATGAGCTGGTGACGAGTTTTTTCACCGCTGGCAGCCCCTGCGTCCCACACCCCCTACCTGCAGCGTGTTGTAATCCCTGGTGAAGGGCACCATCAGCTCCCAGAGCGAGGAAAACACCACCAGGGCCGTGAACTCCAGCTTGTAGTTGGTGGCCATGTGCTCGAAGAGCATGGTCAGCCCGTGGACGGCCAGGTGCTTCCTCTGGTGCTCCTCCGAGCCCTCCACCGACACGGGCCGGGTCATGGAGAGGGACACGTCCATCACCACCACCGTGGGCATGACGAGCTGCTCCTCCCCGCGGCCTCCACGGGGCAGAGAGGGGAGAAACGGGCCCCGCGCTCAGCGAGGCCGGAGCTGCTCCCGCACGGAGCCCCCCGGCCTGCAGGGGGGGGGGATAACGACCCTCTCGCCCGCTCTGTGGGGATACAGCTCAGCTGCAGGGTTGCAGGAGAGCTCTGTGGGGATACAGCTCAGCTGCAGGGTTGCAGGAGAGCTCTGTGGGGATACAGCTCAGCTGCAGGGTTGCAGGAGAGCTCTGTGGGGATACAGCTCAGCTGCAGGGTTGCAGGAGAGCTCTGTGGGGATACAGCTCAGCTGCAGGGTTGCAGGAGAGCTCTGTGGGGATACAGCTCAGCTGCAGGGTTGCAGGAGAGCTCTGTGGGGATACAGCTCAGCTGCAGGGTTGCAGGAGAGCTCTGTGGGGATACAGCTCAGCTGCAGGGTTGCAGGAGAGCTCTGTGGGGATACAGCTCAGCTGCAGGGTTGCAGGAGAGCTCTGTGGGGATACAGCTCAGCTGCAGGGTTGCAGGAGAGCTCTGTGGGGATACAGCTCAGCTGCAGGGTTGCAGGAGAGCTCTGTGGGGATACAGCTCAGCTGCAGGGTTGCAGGAGAGCTCTGTGGGGATACAGCTCAGCTGCAGGGTTGCAGGAGAGCTCTGTGGGGATACAGCTCAGCTGCAGGGTTGCAGGAGAGCTCTGTGGGGATACAGCTCAGCTGCAGGGTTGCAGGAGAGCTCTGTGGGGATACAGCTCAGCTGCAGGGTTGCAGGAGAGCTCTGTGGGGATACAGCTCAGCTGCAGGGTTGCAGGAGAGCTCTGTGGGGATACAGCTCAGCTGCAGGGTTGCAGGAGAGCTCTGTGGGGATACAGCTCAGCTGCAGGGTTGCAGGAGAGCTCTGTGGGGATACAGCTCAGCTGCAGGGTTGCAGGAGAGCTCTGTGGGGATACAGCTCAGCTGCAGGGTTGCAGGAGAGCTCTGTGGGGATACAGCTCAGCTCAGGCTTGCAGGAGAGCTCTGTGGGGATACAGCTCAGCTGCAGGGTTGCAGGAGAGCTCTGTGGGGATACAGCTCAGCTGCAGGGTTGCAGGAGAGCTCTGTGGGGATACAGCTCAGCTCAGGCTTGCAGGAGAGCTCTGTGCGCCTAAAGCAGGTGTTTCTGAAAGGTTCAACCCCCCCGCCGGCTTCTGGGCCTCCTGGCCGCTCTGCAGACAGGATGGGGAGATGGAGAAACTCCTTCACAGAGCCTGGACCCACCCCCGCAAAACTGTGCATCCCGACAGAATTGCCAGAACATCGTTATCCCACATCTGCTGAGTGGATTTTTATCACCGTGGACTCTCTGGCCAGGACTGTTGTTATTCTCCCTTGGCAGAGCTGCACTGGGCCAGTGGCACTAAGGGAAGAGTTATGACACCCTCAGGTCAGCCTGCCAGTGGGCCCAGGCCCTGCAGAGCCCCTCTGCCTCTCTCCTGTGCTGCAGGAGCTGAGGGGCTTTCCAGGAGCCAGCAAATTCTCACTCTCCCTCTGGCACGGCAAAGCGGCCTCGTATTGTGGCAAAAGCCACAAGCAGAGCTGCTTGTCTGGCCTGTCAGCCCTGTGAGGTGTCTCAACACGAAGCTGCCTGCAGGTTGTCTTGCTGAAGTGACCACTGCTCCGTGTAGAGGGGTGTGATTTACCTCAGGTGCTCCCTCAGGAGCTGCTGTGGGAACGAGGCACGTCTCACGGTTGGTGCTTTCCTCTGGTAGTTTGCAAGGGAGATAATCACCTCCCCTCACAACAACCTGTAGTGGCACACAAAAGGTATTGGCTTCAGAGATAGACCCAAACCCATACAATGCTATTTAATCTTCTTAAAGACTGTAGGTATTAAACTGGATTGGCTGTTCCTCCAGTAATATGCCCTTCACACCTGACCCTCACTTGCATTAGAACTCCACTAGCAGGGGCATAGTGAAAATGGGATCATTTTCATCTGCCTCTCCCTGCAACATCATCTCCCATCTGGCTGTCAGGTATCAAAGCCTCCAGCACCACTCTCAACCATTGGTACTTCCCTCCCTCTTGGACAGCATCTTTGGAAGGTAAGCTGTGGAGGTTTGTTTGGTTGCTTCAGATCTCTTATGACTGAGACAGTCTAACCAGGGAGAAGGGAGTTGATCAGGAGTTGGCCTGTACGAGGCAATGCTCTCTGGAAAAGAACTGCTATGCTTACAAGGCTGGAGAAACACAGAGGTCCATGGTCAGGTATCATGAAGGGCTGGAGACCTCTTACAATTGATCTGAGCTTCAGGCACATTTCTGCTTGCAAAAGGTCTTTTAAGCAGCTCATTTTGGGCAGAAGAAATAAAAGCAGTGCCTACATAGGGCTGTGTACGTATGTGTCTTCTCTCTGTGTCATTCTTTTTACTCTCTTAGTATTAGGAAGGGTTATTTTCTAATAATGTTCAAATTTCTATATCTATTATGTGCAATTCTGCCACATGCATGTTCATGTTCTTTTTACATAAGAAAAACAAAGCTTATATCATCTATTTATCTAGGTATTCCCATGACCCTCTATTACTGTTGCCTTAGTGATCCTCCCAGCTATTTAAAAGAAGATAATAATGCCTGTCTTGCAAGAAATTTAGGCTGATTACCTCACTGGGTGTTATGCAAGAGGGTGAGTGTGTGCTAACTTTCATGAAGAGCTTATCTGAGGATGGCTTACAAAACTATGATTCACATCCAGCTCAAGCATAACGTAACTTTCCCACTCTGAGGAAAGAAAAAATAAACCCTTGAAGAGTGATATTCTATGGTAAACATTCAACCAGTGCTTAAGGGTAAATTCTGTCCAGCCCCAAATCCCTGTCTCCATTCTGTCACAGCTGCAGGCTCTGCCCCTCTGGCCTTTACAGTTTCTCTCCCCTTCTAAACGCTGTTCAAATACTTATGCAAGATGTGCTAATTACTCCCTAATAAAAGGTATGATTAGAGTTGCACTTTGCCAGTTCTGATTTCTACAGAAAGGCTGGCAAAGAGGTAGCCAGAGAAACCAAGGGATATTCAGCACGCTCAGTTTGACTGGACCCAAGTCCTCCTCCTGCACATCTCACTGCAAGACAGAAGCTCCTCACTGCCTGCTTTCTGTTCTGTGGGAGTGCAAGGCTGGAGAGCCACGGAGCAGCATAGTTGGGAATTACCAAGCAGTTTTCATCCTCCCATTGAGGTCACTTAGGTGAATAACTGCTCTGTTGGGAGGGAGGTTCTAACAGCAGGACCTTGTCTTCTTTTCTAGCAACTGGAGTGGGTTCCTTGGCAGCAGCTGTGTGTGTCCTGCCTCCTGCAGAAAACTGACCCAACTGTCAATGGCACAGAGTAACAACTGGACTCCACAAAACACACAAACCTTAATAGCTCCTGGATATGGGCATTAGGAGGAATCAGAATCCAGCTCAGACTGAGCTGTCTCAGCCAACTGTTCTCTCTGATAAGCTAAACCTGTGATTATTAATCAGCAGAGCCTACAGTCATTAAAAAAATAAAAGCCTGAATCTAGATCTGATTTTACTCATTTAAGTCCATTTCTTTTCATTGCAAAGCAGAGGAGCAGTCAGTGGGGTCATGTTGCCCATTCAGTTGGAGGTTTTAGTGCTTTATTTTTCACACTAGATTTTCTTTTGCAGGTTTCCAGTGTTTTGCCCCTGATGCTTAAGGTCAGCCAGGAACTCCAATGGTGGATGTAAGTGCACATTGCTGATCCAGGGAAGGCTGAAGTGGCTTCTGGACACAGCTTGGACTTTGGAACCTTTAGGAAATGCATTTACCACGGAGACGGCGGCTACAATGGAACCGAATCTTTTTCTTGCTTGCCATGGTGTTGGTCCTCTCTCTCTATCAGCTCCAGCTCAGCCCCTCTGCCCTTCCAGCACCACACACAGCCCCCCAACCCACGGACCATGTCAAAGTGACCTCCAGGGACCTCTCCAGCAACAAGACTGCCAAAACGGGCAATATCACAGCAGCAACCAAAATCAAGCACTGTATATACGTGGATCCTGAGCCAACTGTGCCCATCACTACATCAGTGGATACAACACCACAGAGAGAAAATGACAGTGAAACCTACCCAGATAGAAAGCCACCACATGAGTCCAAAGGAGAATATCCCAGAGACCTATTCAGTGTGGAAGAACGCAGGCAAGGGTGGGTTGTACTTCACGTCTTTGGCATGATGTATGTATTTGTGGCCTTGGCCATAGTGTGTGATGAGTATTTTGTCCCTGCTTTGGGAGTGATCACAGAGAAGCTGGAGATCTCTGAAGATGTGGCTGGAGCCACCTTCATGGCAGCAGGTGGATCAGCACCAGAACTCTTCACCTCCCTCATAGGTGTCTTCATCTCACACAGCAATGTGGGCATCGGTACCATTGTGGGCTCTGCAGTGTTTAATATCCTCTTTGTCATTGGCACCTGTGCCCTCTTCTCAAGGGAGATACTCCACCTGACATGGTGGCCATTATTTAGAGACATCTCATTCTACATTGTAGACTTACTGATGCTCATCCTGTTTTTCCTAGACAGTGTCATCAATTGGTGGGAAAGCCTCCTTTTACTGACTGCTTATGCCACTTATGTGTTCACTATGAAACACAACGTGTCTCTAGAGCAATGGGTGAAGCAGCAGCTGAACATGAAGCTAAATGCTGTGCAGGCAGAGTCAGCAGAGGATATAAGGAAGGTTGGTGTCCTCATTGTTCAGAGGGAAAGTTGGAAGTAATTCCTCATAGGGTAAACCACATAGAAAAACTACATCTCCTTCCCAAAGTGCACGTTCAGACAAAACTTCAGAATACAGGTACTGGTCAATAATTATGGTTATAAAATGAAAGGAGTGCAATCAAGGTAGCAGAGATTCTAAGAAATTAGAGAACACCACTAAAAGGGAGTTACAGCCTTACGATTATTGAAGATATCAGTTGTGGTCACTTATCTATTATCACTTACTTATTATCACTTATCTCTTATGAAGACAGGCTGAGAGATTTGGGATTGTTCAGCTGGAGAAGCGAAGGCTCTGGGGAGACCTCATGGTGGCCTTCCAGTACCTGAAGGGGCTACAGGAAAGCTGGGGAGGGGCTTTTTGCAAGAGCTTGTAGTGACAGGACAAGGGGGCATGGATAAAAACTTGAAGAGGGTAGATTTGGATTAGACATTAGGAAGAAATTCTGCACTATTAAGATGGTGAGACACTGGAACAGGTTGCTCAGGGAAGTTGTGGACACTTCCCCATCTCTGCAAGCATTCAAGGGCAGGTTGGATGGGGGTCTGAGCAACCTGGTCCAGTGGGAGGTGTTCCTGACAACACAGGGGAGTTAGATCTAGATGATCTTTAAGGTGCCTTCCAACCCAAACCATTCCATGAGTCTATGATCTGCTTTCAAGGACATGTGTGGGATTTCGCTCAATTGATTGTTGTAAAGGAGCTTTAAAAATACTTACAGGAACACACTGTTAGTCAGAGACCATTAGATTTCAAATTGTTCTCTGGCACTGGCATGCTCTATGAGTCAGATGTGTGTCTCTGACTCTCAAGCATGCTTTCCCCCTTCTGTTCTCAGCACTCCCTTCACATCATTTAAGGAAAGAAAGGAAGATGGATGAGGACAGTTGAAGTGGAGCAGAATCAAGAAAGTGCTTTTCTTTCCTCCTCCTGCTCTGCATTTCAGCCAGAGCTTGAGGCTGGGGGACCTGAAAGCTCATGTGTTACATTCCACTGGGATATGTGTGCAAGGTACTGTAGCTAGAGCCATACATCACTGTGGGCATCACCAGTCCTCACAAATTGAATCAAGCCCTTCAGGCTGAAGGAAATAAAACCCCTGCACTTCGAGTTCACAGAGAACTCTTGCTAGTGTATAGTAGCACAATAGAGCTGCTGGTCCCAACCCTTAGAAAAAATAAATTACCTATGTGGAAAGTAATGCTAATCACTGGAAAAAAAATAAAAATCAACAAACAACTTATTTGCACCTTCACTCAGGTTCTGCTGGAAAATGAGTAAGGATACATATATTTGGGATGAAGTTTGGGGCTGCCTATACTTTCAGGAATCAGATGGTAGAGGCCATTTGAGTCTATCTCTGGGTACCTGAATCCTCACTGAGGATCTGTAGGTAAAATCCTGTTTCTCTTGGAGACCACATGCTTTTAAGGAGAGCAGAGGTCTTTGGCTCTTTCAGTGGCATCCATGGCCAGTCATTTGTATCAGCTGTCTCACTGTCTCAGAGAGTAGCCTGAAGAGCTATCTTTATATCCTGAAAAAGCAAGAGAAGCTGTAGTGGTGTTCAATTGTTTTTGTTCTTGCTTGCATGCAGGAAAGCAGTGGGGCAGTTGCAGATGATGGAACAAAGAAGCCAGCAGATGAGAGGAATCTGCAGGTAGGTCTAAGCAGGGAGCTGAAGTCATTGTGTTTTGAACCCCTCCCCATGTCAGGTCGTGAATATAAGTGTCAACTTCTGTGTCAAGAAACCTGGATCAAATCTTACTTTGTGCAAAGAACCAGCCATACTTGGCACAATATGCACAGCTTACTTAAGAGGACACCTGGCTGAGCTGTGTCCTCAAAGGAATTTTTGTAAAATCTGAGATTTTGACTAGCAGAGGCTATTCATTCTATGCTTTAAAAAGGCATGGAGAAATTCCGAGTATGACTTTTCTTACCTGGTTCCATGGCCAATTTCCATCCTGAGCCCCCAAGCAGAGGCTGGTAGGGTCTGTCCACCCCCACACGGAGCCCTGAAGAGCTCATTCCTCTGCTCCTGGTTAAACTGTCTTCCTCATGGTCCACCAGCCATTACACAGAAAGGCCTGTCCATGTTCTGGCCGCAAATCCACATAACAGGTGTTACCCATATGGATCCTACCTGTCCTTCTATGCACTTAACCTACCTGTACTAATTAATGTTCAGTCAAAACCTCATTAGGACTTTGGTGTTGACTATATGAACAGAGCACCAGAGCTTTCAAGTCAGGACACTTGACATGACTGTACATTGCCTTTTAGCAGGATATAAATCTACACAGTAATGAACAAGTTTATGACTAAAAGCACTGCATGCTATGTTATTGTAACTTACAACAACATTGTCTTGCTGCTGAGCCCAGGTGAGCCCATTGCACTTACCTGGGGACAGGCTGGCCTGCTGTCTCAGGAGCCTGTCTCTTGCTGTGAGCAGTGAGTACTGGCAGCCATCCTGTAACTGGAAAGCAGAGGCTGGTTAAAATGCTGCTCCTTGGGTTGCGGAGATCACCCTCCATATAAATGCACTCCCACGGTGGAGAGGAACAGAGAGTGGAGATGTTTTGAGGAGGAAACTGGTATTGACTGCTGCATTGTACCTCTCCATAGCCTGGGTCAGCCTTACAGCGAGGCAGCAGCTCAGCCTCCCTTCACAACACCCAGATGCGCAGCACCATCTTCCAACTCATGATCCACACCCTGGACCCCCTGGCAGAAGGTGAGTCAATGCTCCACAGCTGAGGGACGTGTGTTTGCAGCCCTGAGCACAGAGCAGCTTCACTGGGAACACAGTGTTGGGGCAGTGGGGTGTTTGGGATCAGCACCTCGTCCTTGAAACGCAGCCCTGAGTGTCCCAGAGAGTGTTGAGTGGAGGCAGCCCTGCAGCAGTGGGATGGACCCTCCTGCTCCAGTGGTTGGCAAGGACAAGCACCTCATGCTTTGGCCCTGCCAGGTCCTCTTTGCCTGTGCCAAACTGGCTGCTGCTGCAGTGGCAGCTGTGCTGTTGCTGGAGGAAGGAGCAGGGCATGTGGAGCAGCTGGTGTTGCTGGTGAGCAACAGGAGTTACAGGCTTCCTCCATCTCACTGCACGTCACATCTTTCTTCCTCTTCTTGGCTCTGCCTTGGAACAGCAACATTCAGTGCTGTTTTCAAGAAAGAGCTGCTCAGCCTAATTTATAACAGGAAAATGAACACAGGGAGGGCTCCTTACCTGTGCACACAGCCCCTCACACAAGGCATGACCCTGAAGAGGAAAAGGAAGTTAAACCTCAAAGAATTGTTATTTTGATAGTGATTAAAATTCCAGTTGAGATCTAAAATAGACATCAGGTTCCAATTATGACAGTTAAGCCAATTTGTATTTGATTTAGACCAACAGTGAGCACCCCTACAAGCAACACTGCCATGGTAAACTACCCATAGCACTTCCCAGGCAGTAGGGCAGCTCCCCAGGGTCAAGGGCTGATCAGCTCTGGACTAAGACATCTTTTGAACTGCCCAGGGTGCACAGACACCACATCTCCAGACAGACCCAGGGTTTTTGTACACAAACTTTTAACGTGCTGCTTTGTATCACCTTTAATCCAAACAGTATGAAGGTTCATTTTGCAAGAAATGGTTACACATGTTGAAAAAAATACAGGTTTTTTTTCTATTTTCTTTCCTAACTCAGCACATGACCCACCTCTCCACTGCCCTTACTTGGTCTAAAGATATTACCTGTTGTCCATTCAAAGGGAGATTGAAGCTAAGCTGATCAGTACCTCTCGTGTCTATCATAGAGGTTACAAGAAGGACTTTCCAGATCAGAATCCCAGTTGCACAAACTGATTGAGGGAACACAGGAGGTTTGATAACAACAGTAAGATAAGTGTCCACTTGGATAGATTACTAACAGCAGCCTAACAAGGGCCAGACTCAGTTTGCTCTACTGCCCTTGCCTCCTGTACCCCCTGAAATGTGGTATCAATGGCAAAATAATAAACCCCAAAACCTACAATAAGCCATGACATTGCCTTTGACATCAGAAGGTACCAGACCTGAGGGAGTGCTGCCCCTCAGAGACCCTCCAGTGCCTTCTCATCCTTCCTGCACCTCTACATATCTTTGTGCAGCATATGCCCAACCCAGGCCCTCATACACATCTGGTCCAGGCTGATGTCCTCAGCTTGGGGGACCTCATTAGAAGTTGTGGGGGCCTCAGGTTGCCAGCTCCAGCGCTGCCCCAGCCAGCTCAGCCCAGAACACGCTGCTGGCGGGTTCCAAAGCTGTTGCAAGCCACTGGCCTTGCTCAAGAGGCTGTTATTACCTCAAGTCGGTCTGAACAACTTCCCCTCTCGTTCTAGCTAGGCAGAGTCTGAGTCATTGTCTCTGTACCCAGCAGCCACTAGATGGGAGTGTGACCATTTGAACTTGAGCAAGTCTAATGTTCACAATAGGGACGATAGGAGCCACAGTCTCTCCAAAAGGTTATTTCTTAGACTCTGCTATAATAATGCTACTGAGCTAAAGGCAAAACCTCTGCCCCAGGTCCATGTCTGTTCCACTCAACACTGCCAAAACAGAGACAGCTCCTTAGAAAAGGTAACAATAAAGATAGTTACTGAGATTACAACAGCCCAGTACTCAAAATCAGGGAGCCAGTGTCCCAGCTGCTGTGTGTCTTGTAGGAGACCCTCCTTACCCTGATGAGTTCGTACCTACAGAAAGGGATTCTGGAGAAAAGGAAAAATTTATGAACAGACTGAGAAATCTAAGTACCTTAAGGATCAAAATAAGATAAAAGTGTCTTCACCTGGATGACTCTGAAAAAGGGTTTGAACCTGAAAGGCATTTCAGGCCTGCATGCTCAGCCAAATTTGTCTTAATAATACTGCAGCCCTTTGGTACTCTCAGGACAGCTGGGTGCCTGCTTCCCAACCATGACCAGCCAAGTCCTGCTCTTTGCAGGGTATGCAGCACTGTCTCTAATGGAGTTGCAACATAAAAGATGATCCCAAAGCAATTTCTCTTTCCTCAAGGGTTCTTGTTCCCTCTTGCCAATGCCTGTAGCATCAGCACTTAGAGGCTCTGGCAAAGAACGTGCTACAAAAGAAAAATGTTGCCAACTGTTACTTAGCAGTTCCCATCTTAACCTACTGAAATTAGGATCTCTGCAGGATTTCCTTCCTTGTACTGCAGTTGCATTTTATTTGGATAGCAAAGAAGTGGTGTCTGGGCAGCAAGAGTCCAAAATGTGGAGAAACAGCCAGTGCTGGACATCCAAATCCAATTTCCAGAAAAAGAGGTCTTAGAAATAAAGTACAAGTCTGAAATATGAACTTTCTTTCACTGTTCCTAATGCAGCAATCCTTATGTGAAACAAAATTTCTCATTTGAACAATGGATTAAGTTTAGCATGCTTATTTTTTTCTTTTTGTATTAGGAAGAGCTCATTATTAGTCCTTTTCTCTGTCTAAAGGAGATGAGGTGTTCTACTTCAGAAGTTGTAACATTTACATTGCATCCTGAATTATATGTGATAGAAGCTTTTCTTTTCAAAGTGTCTTTTTTAAACAAAATTGGTCTTTTCCTCACTTCCTCTGCAAGTGTGCAGAAGCAGAGCATGAGATCTTTTAAAGATCTTTCAGCTAGACACCAGAGGGAACTGCTGGGGAATTAAAGGGAATGAGGATTTTGGAAAGACAGGCTCTCATTTCTGAGTCTCCGGTCTTATCACTGGATTATTCTCTAAACTCTAGTTGTACAGGGAAGACAGAAACCTGCTTTTACTTTTGAATGAAGAAAAAGGCTCCAGCAGCAAGGTTGCCAGAGCTGTCTTCTGTCAATATGCCCCAGTTAACAAGTTAATGAATGTGGAAATGAGAGCAGGCTAGAGCAACAAGCAGTGTTGCAGACCAGAGCTCAGATAGAAGGCTGAAGGGAGCTACATTTCTCCTTGCTTCATTAGCATTCAATCACTTGTTTTAAGAGAATGATACAAAGGGGCAAAAGGAATCATGAGGGTTTTGGTTGTTTTTTTACTTCCACTTTTAAACAGCAGAATTGCTAAAGTATAGAATCATAGACTGTGTGAGGTTGGAAGGGACCTTTAGAGGACATCTAGTCCAGCCCCCCTGCAGTGAGCAGGGGCCTTTTTAACCAGATCAGGTTGCTCAGAGCCTTGTCCAGCCTGACCTTGAATGTTTCCAGGGCTGGAGCCTCCACGACCTCACTGAGAAACCTGTTCCAGTGCTTCACCACCCTCATTGTAAATTAACTTCTTCCTAATGTCCAATCTAAGTCTACTCTGCTCTACTTTTAACACCACTGCCCCTCACCCTATCACTACTGACCCTTGTAAACAGTCCCTCCCCAGCTTTCCTGTAGGCCCCCTACATGGGGTGCCTCCCTCATGAATCCTCCAGATTAATGCCAAATTTTAGAAAAAAAATCCTTCCTGCTGTCCGTGTAGGTTAGTCCTGTTAGATCAAATATGACAGCCAAAGAATTAATTACACAGAAGAGCCAAACTCGAAGTAGGAGCTCAGCTGCCACCTTTCATCCTGCTTGGATGCTGTCAATCCATAGGACAGGAATCTTCCTAAAGATCACCTCAGGGCCTCTGGGCACAGGCATAGCCCCTGTGGCTCTGACCAGGGGACAGAGTTACCAGCAGGGAATGGCCCAGGGACTGCAGTCCCCATGGAGGAGACAGCCCAGTGCAGCAGAGCCCACTGGGCCAGCACACTGCCCTGCTCAGCTAATCCCCAGCATTAGGAAGGGCTGAGCTGACAGACATCCTCCCTCCCTCCCCACTGCTGACCTGCAGATCTGGCCAGCTTAGAGCCAGCCCTCCCTCCAATCTCAGTCCATCCTGCATGAAATTCATGTCAGAGGAATTAACACCTTTTAAAAGGAAGCTCATCTGATGAAAACTGAATAGTGCCCTGGACCTAATCTGTTTATCCTGCCAGAGATGCTCGAGGCTTTGCTGGGGTTGGTGCTCACAGCCTGCAGCCCAGGTGAGGGCAGGAAGCCAGGAGCTCAAATTTATATAATCTCAGGCTGAGCCTGACCGCCCTGACCCTGCTGACAGGAGCTTTTGCAACAGCTTCTGGGAAGAGCTGAACAGAAAGATGCATTGCCCAGTGGTTAGAGGAGACTTGGAGCAAGAGGTCACCTCTCCATTGCCTTGAACTGATCAGTGTGCTTGTGCTTAGCATCAGCAGAGAGGGAATGAGGCAAAGCGCTTCACATTCCTGCTGGTAGGCTTTGATATTGACAAGGAGCATGGGAGTCAGGCTCCTAAGTCCCACCCAGCCTTTCAGAGGAGAAGAGCTCATTGTTTCATCTCTCTTCAGCCATTCCAGCCTGCAGTGGAAATCCCAGGTGGAGAAATATGTTCCTGTCAGACTGTAACAGGAGTCACACCAGAAGTTCCCAGAAACCATAATGTGTGAGTCAGTCCCAGTTATTGGACATTTCCCAGAGCTGACTTGTTTTCCTGAGGTTCAGCTCAGAACAGTAGATCTGCCTGCAAGGCTCAGGGCCCCACACCTGCTATTGCTATTAACTCCCTATCACAATGATGAATAAAGTGACAGGGCCCTGCCCTTGAGGCAAATGACAACAGCACGTTCTGCTTGCACAGTCAACAGTACAGTAGATTAAATCAGCATGATAAAACTTTCAGAGGAAATTAATTTACAGCCTTGCACACAAGCCAAGCATAGCATGGCCAATTTCTTATGGCTACTGTCCATGTGTAAGCCCTGTGACCCTCAGGTGGGTAGGCAGCTCAACTTAGAATATAGATTAGAGCAAAATGAGGCTTTTCTTTGGGCCAATGACTTGCTCACTTCAATGAGAGTAGAAGTTATTTGAGCACACCACCTAACTGTGGAGACATGCACAGTTTCACAGTTCACTGTAAAACAAAAATAAAGCAGCTCAGCTGAGGAAAGCATAGTTTACAGTGGAAGAAGTCTTCAGCAGTTGCAGAAACACCCTACTGGACACTGTGCTGAGGAGGCTGATCGCTGGGGTAGCCTGAGCCATGTTGAATTTGGATACCAGGAATTTAGATCAACTCCAGCAGAAGAAACACAAGCATTTCCTTAGAGAAATCAATCATTTTCCAGATAAGTGGAAGATAAAAGGTTGTTATTTTTCCTTACCATCAGTAAGCAGCACAGTGAAGCCTCCTCAACAGCCACATGGCAGAAGGAAGGTGTCATTTTTAGCTTGCACATAATCTAGCCTGAAAAAAAATCAACAGTCATTTGGGAACAACACACTATTGCATTGAAACTCCTCCTCTGTCCTTTCTGCATTTGCATTCCATGAAGTACAGATAAACCCTGTAATATTGGACTGAAAGGATTTATCTTCCCCCTAGATTCTCTTTTAAATAAGACAGTATTAGCTACATGCCAAATTGATGGCATAATTGCCATAGTACTAAGTGTTTAAATATAACATCTATGATCAACTAGCAGCAGCCAAAAAAATGAAGCCCCAGCTAGAAAGACAACTCACAAGTCAGTGTTGACTGCAATCCATGCAAGAAGAAAGGGGCAAGAGAGTGTGCATGTGGAGGGGGAGGCAGGTAAAGGGGGGCTTTGCACAGATGACAGCTGCTGACAAATGCATCTTTCTCATCCACAGCAAAATTTAAAGACAGGGTTGACATGCTGAACAACATAGCCAAGGCCCAAGTAGAGGCTGCAAGTGGACAAGGATCAAAACCAGAAGGTGAGTTCAAGAAGAGTCAGTGCTGTTTGCCTTGTTTTGCACTGCCTCACCTTCCCAGCACTCAACACTCCAGGGCTGGCAAAGGAACACTATGGTCTAACACAAATTCTCTGTTATTGCTGGTCACAGATGGCTGCTCTAATAATGCAGCAGAAATCAATCAATGCACACTAACGGTGGGCAATAAAATCCATCCCCAGAGGAGGCCAGGAGCAGTTAGTGAGATAGCATCCCAACAAAGTGCCACAAGGATGTAGTGTAAATTGCCAGCAGAAGGATGAAGAGAGGAAATCAGGCCATTAGACAGCAGTTGGGTGCTACTTATCTTTGGGAGACCCTGCAAATGAGATGTTTGTTAAAACAAAGTACCTTCATTTTAGGCAGGAAATCTGGCACATGTATGGAAGAGCATAAAAGATCCCTCCAGAGAGAAAAGCTGCACTGACTTTGGCACTATTGAAGGGTCTGTGCATGCTCCCTTTCTTCTAATAGGTTTTGGGTTTTCTTTCTCACTCCTGATCCAGAGGCTTTCTGAGCTGATTCCCAGGCAGCAGCTGGCCTGTACTCCAACATGGGCCTGTGCTGCCAGTGAGGCTGGAGATTTTGGAAAGCAAATAAACTTCTGCATGGAAGGTCCCACCTCCACAAGCACCTACTGCAGTACAGCACTCATCTGAGCACCTCCCAGCACTGGGCCTCACCTGTGTGAATGAGACCAAACTGGAGAAAAGCACTGTTTAGCAAACAAGGAAATTCAGTGTGAGTTATCAGCTCCACCATGGCTTCATGGAACCATGAATTTTCACCCCATGGCATGTTCCACAAACTTTGTTGGAGCATAGATAAGGCCTGCACATTCTAAAAAAACTATGTCTGTGTCCCACTTTGGGCTGAAGGTCTCCCACAGGAAGCCTCTTAAGGCCTGGTTTCAGAAATCCCAAACAGCTCTCACTGAAAAGATGGATCTGCCCTCTAGGTTTGCTCCCCAGTGCAAGAGTTGCAACCAGTTCAGAGTAAGACACCCTGTAATACCCCATCCCAGTAAAATTAATGGGATAACATGATCCTACTAATCTGGCAGGCTTGACTATATGGAGGGGATGCCTTAACCTAAAGTGCAGCAGTCTGAAAAGGGCCCTTGCTGTGGCGGAGCAGAGATCCGGGCACTCCCTCTCACCTCTGCTCTGCATTATCCATATTTCTACCCTTCTTTGCACAGATGTTTCTGTGTCCCTCTTGGCTACACAGGCTAGTTAACACAGGAACAGCACAGAGGACAGGGCTGTTATCTCCTTCTATGCACCAGCACATTTCTATTTGCATACTTACCAAATGATTAGGGGTTAAAGCCTGGCAGCACCTAACAGGTCTCAGAGGCCTCAAAGATTTTTAGTTCCCTGGGAATGCCATGGTCTACTAGAAAAAAGAAGGGGGGAGGGAAGGAAAGCTTTACATCCTTTGTGGCTTCTGTAAGATCATCAGAATCTGGACTGAAACCAAGAAACACTCATTAGCTGTAGATCAGATAATTAGTGTTTCGCCATCGTTACACTTGTGGCTCTTACATCAGTTTCAGATAGAAGGTCATGGGAGCGTCAAGGTATCATTCTATGCCAGGTGGGCCAGATTCTGCCCAGCTCTTACTGGTCACAATCCACAGAAGACAGAGGACAAACAGAAAGCCTGGGCCACTGGGCTGCATTCTACATGAAATACCACACATTCTTGTACAAAGCTCAAACCCCTGCTGCTCAAGGGGAAGGTGACCACCTGATGCTAAGATGTCTGGAACAAATATTCCTTCTTATCCCTTTCAGCAGAGGAGGAAAAGAAGACATCCAGCAGCCTTCAAGTAACTCCTGCCAGTGACTCTGAACCCAGCAAACAGAAGGCAGATGCACCACAGGATGGAGAGGTACTTAAATAAGCATCATAGGCAACAAGTGCTCAGTCCAGACCAAATTACACATGCCCTTTTCTTCTTCCCTCTTCAGAGCCTTGGGGGTTGGACCCAACCACTTTTCCGTAACTGGCAACCATAAATATGTTAAGGTATCAGCTGAAACGTTCTGGCATACAAATAAAAATGAGGTCCAAAACATGACACCAACCAATTCTGTCTAGTATATATTGAAAGGAGGAATTAGGGGAACAAAACAAACGTGTAGAGATGAACACAAGACAGATACTCAAATCTTCCCTTATGCTGGAGTAGACCTCCTCAGTCATTTGAGGAGAAAAAACTATACACTGTCAGCTGCTGTCATATCTTGACACAGATGAAACATTTACTGTCTCTTTGAAAACCTTTCCTTGAAACCCCATCTAAACATTGGTTCTAGTTAGCAGATATAAATCAATAAACTGAGATAGGGTGCTCCTGGGTTCTGTCCCAAAACAGCAAGATGAGGGCAGGGGCTGCCCTCAGCCACACTACAAACGTGACCTCTGCCAAGGCAAGGCTGTGGTGGATAGAAGCTGTGCAGCTCTCCCTTCCTGTGAAAACAAATTGGTTTTTTTATCCCTAATCTCCAGGCCTCTTCGGGCAGTGACAGCTCAGAAGACAGCAGCTCTGAAGAAGACAGTGATAATGACAGCACAGATGATGATGAAAACGAAGAACCATTATCTCTTGAATGGCCAGAAACTAGGAAAAAACAAGCAATTTACCTCTTCCTTTTTCCCATTGTCTTCCCTCTCTGGAGCACTATACCTGATGTCAGAAACCCAGTAAGAATCTATCTTCCTTCTGCTACTGGATTCATTAAATGAACTATAGATTTCCTCGTTTCTATTTTTCCATGTCTGTAGAGTCTCTGCATACTTGAAGTGCTGATAATCCCACAGGGAGTGGGACAGGAGCCCCAGCTGCAGCATAGCATGGTTCCAGAGACTTAATTTAATAAACCACAAAAGACTTGCAACTTCTGGTCATCTAATCAAGCTGACAATATCAAATACAATTAGAGAGACTAGGGTCTATCGTAAAGCAATATATTACCATAAAGTGTTTCAGGTGAAGAATTTTCTTTGAGGATTGTTAACTTTCCTGAACTGACTCAATTTTTTTCTTTTCAACCTTGATTTCAGGATTCAAAAAAATTCTTTGTCATCACATTTTTTGGAGCCATCATCTGGATTGCTGTGTTCTCTTACCTCATGGTGTGGTGGGCTCACCAGGTGAGGGGTTTATTTTCTCTCTGTGAGTAAGACCATTTCAGAACAAGTAGATGGAGAGGGAACAGTGTCACTTCAACATCTTACTTGATGAATTACAGCTGCAGTCATGCATCAAAACTGTAGAAACCTTGTTTTTTAGAATCCAAAAGGGAGTTTCCTATTCCATTATTTTCGATTTGAAGAGTCATTCTTTTCTGAGAGCTTCCAAGGGAATTTGTGCATAAGGGAAAGTGCTGTCAAGGTTTATCTTAATACTGCCTTTTCATTGATGAATGCTTCTGTGCAGAATACAATTATCCCTTACCTAATTATAATTCTAGGAAAATACAGGTTCTGATTCTGGAAGCTGCTAAATGATCTCAACTCCCATTGCCTTAATGATTATCGGGTATTCTGGGAAGTAATACTTTGCATCTTGCAGAATCAGGCACACAATTGGTATTTAGTGATATATTGTGCAGAGTATAGTTGATCAAGCTGTAAATCCAGAGACTGTCATTTGGCAAAGCTCTTGGATCACACACAGCTGATGTTACATTTGGAGAGGGGATGGTAGAACACATCCAGAAGAGGTGACCTTGGGACAGAAGAATGAGTTGTGCTGTAACTGGCTTGGTCTTGGCAACACTGATCAGATGCCCAAGGCTACAGAGCAAACCTGAGACCAACACACACTTTGAAAATGTAACTTTTTATCCTATAAAGCAGAAAAAATGCTACCATGTTTAAGGGAATTAAAATATTTTAACTCAATTATGGCATGAAACCTAAAAGGTTTGCACAGAGCAATGGAATTCCATGTTTCAGAGCTAACAGACCTACCTGACTTGCTTTGTATTGATTAGGTTGGTGAAACAATCGGGATATCAGAGGAAATTATGGGGTTAACCATCCTGGCAGCAGGAACCTCCATCCCTGACCTCATCACCAGTGTCATTGTTGCACGGAAAGGCTTAGGGGACATGGCTGTGTCCAGCTCTGTGGGCAGCAACATCTTCGATATCACTGTTGGGTGAGTATTGGCTCAATGCTAAGAGGTGCATTTCTGCTGAAATACAAAGCAAGCTGGTTTTGTTCCAAACAGGGTCTTAACTAATTTCATTTTAGTTGTAATTAAATGAATGTCAGCTGAGCAACAAGTGACTTTTTTTTAAAAAACAACTCTAACCTAGTCAGGAAAGATAGATTTTTGTAACTTAGTGCAGAGTGAACACTGAGCAGGTGATCATCCTACAGTTTAAAATAAGGGTAAGTAGCTCAAAAGAGAAGCACCAGCACCTCCACCTCATTGTGAAGCAACAGAAAAACACTGATTTAAAAAAAAAAAAGCAAAATGGAAAAAGGCAAATTAAAAAAAAATTGCAAAAATGCAATGTATCTTTCACTAACAGCAAAGATTCACAGACACGATTCTTAGCCAGTCACTCTGATATTCGCATCCTGTGCAATCAAGGCTCAGATCTGTGCCTGTATCTCTCATCGATAAAGCATGAGACTTAATTCTTCCTAAGAGCAGGTAGAGCCACTTAATTCACAGGTACTACTTTAAAACCCCTTTTTAGATTCTTGGATTGCATTATGATGGTGCAAGTATTATCCAACTACAGCTTTTGACACAAACAACACATCAATTTTAGATTTATGCTGAGCTACACTGAGTGCAATCATGCTTTTTTTTCTGCAACAGTTTGGAAAAATTGCTTAGTTATAATGCAGAAAATGAACTGCTTTAAAACATTTATTTCAATTTCTTTTCCTTTACTTGCAGTTTGCCGGTTCCTTGGTTCCTTTATTCTGTCATCAACGGCCTCAGCCCAGTTGCAGTCAGTAGCAATGGTTTGTTTTGTGCAATTGTTCTCCTTTTTCTCATGCTCTTATTTGTGATTATCTCCATCGCTGCATGTAAATGGAAAATGAACAAACTACTGGGGCTCACTATGTTTGGTCTTTACTTTGTGTTTCTGATCATCAGTGTGATGTTAGAAGACAAGATAATATCATGCCCAGTATCTGTATGACATCTGGGCACTTCCATCTGTATGTAAACATACATGAAAATCAAAAGGGGTTTAAGGTAGCAATTGTTCTACTGAAAAAAGCAACCATAATTATAACAAACTTACTGAGAATAAAATATCTTTAACATACTAAAAAATTAATTAATCAATCTCAAGTTGTCAGTCTCTACTGTTTTCTTTGGGATCACAAGAGACCAGATAATGAAGTGACTAATACAAAATATCACACGTTCAGGCATTCATGGAAAGGCTGATACGATACAGATGCATCAAGTTTTAGTATGGCCCATGCCCTCAAGTTAATGGAGCTGATTGATTTTCAGAATGTTTACTCATTACAGTAATAGTTTCAGGAACACACTAAATACTTAGTAAACTGCTCCAACCCACTGAAATCAATGAACTTCACCTCAGTGGGAACAGCATTACTGCTTACCCTCACAAAACTACTCTGTTTAAAACCGTTGTGTGACACACGTCCTGCATCTCAGAAGTGAACTCCCTCAAAACAAGCACAGCAGCTCCCAGGTGGTTGGTCACAGCTCTTCTCTGCAGAGGTGGTTTGCATCCTTCCGTGAATGCCACTCTGGCACTCCACACATACCTCCAAGCAAGTGTACACAGAACTCATGATGCACTTCAGAGGAAAAGCTTTTTGCTAGTCCTGTTAAGACTGCGGGAAATTTTATAGTAAGGTTTTCAGGGAAAAAGTAAAACAGCCAGAGTTATTTCTGCATGCATAACAGGATTGGAGTAGCACAGCAATCCTGAAAACCACCCATGTGGCTCTTTTTAAAGCTCTATCTGATCTTTAAGTACAATCCCTAAAATCTAGCAGAAGTGCCACAATACAAGTGTGATGTCAAATGGATTTACATCTTATTGTAACCAGACTAAACAGATCTGGGGCTAGAAATCCATATTGCCACTAATAAAAGCTAAAACTAGGAATCAGAAATACAGTAAGAACTTGAACTGCTTGGGTTTTCTTTTCATCCTGACACTAATCTTAAGAGATTCACAGATTCCTGTACCCAGCATCAATTCTTGTTGTTAGCACTGTCTTCTACACAACCACTGAAAAAAAAAAAGCCACTGACATAAACTATCAACAAACCTGAAAGGTTTATTGTTAACACCACCTCATGTGAGCAAACAATGTAGTTAGAAGTTGCAGACTTTTCTGTCATTCTAATCCACCTAATAAAATGCTAATGAAAATAACCAGAAAGATTTAAGCTTTTTATTGACTCACTGTAAAACTTCTTTTTTGGGATGAGACAGAAAAAAAATTAACATTGTGAACACTGACTTGCATATTTTAAAGGAACTACAAACCAAAGCAAACATCCAACATACAGGTTTTTGGTAAATAAAATTTAAACATTACATATTTACAAATCTACAACCATTTAAAAAGTGCTGCTTGCAGACTAACAAAGTACCATTTTTAAATCCCAGTGAGATAGTCTCCAGAAATACCCCTCATTATTGTTTGCATCTCCCATTTGTCATACAAAGAATTTACAAGCAGGGATTTTCTTTTTTGGGGTACCAAACATTTAATTTGCCAGTGAAGGTCTAATTCATGAGGCTGTAACTGTACCAACAGCAAACCTTCTCAAAATGGGAACCAGTTAGCAGTGTCAGAGGAACAGCACAAGTTCTATTCACATTTCAGTATTTCATCTCCAATAATTATTCCAGTAGAACCATAAGTAAAGCAAAATATATATTGCACTGCAAATGTAAAACCTCTGCTTAAGGTTATTGACATAAGCACTATTAAGTACACAAAAGGAGAAAATTCAGTTCATACAAAATTTTAAATTGAAAATATGTCTCAAATATTTTATTTATCCATCTTCGCAGTACTGGAAAATATACTCAAATTGCTTTTCTAATAAAGGACAGTGAGATTTCAAAACTGTTTCAACACTGAATTCTATGATGCTTAAAAATCATCCACCTCAGGATCTACATTTTCAACATTATTATGACCTGAATGAGGAAAATTTCCCACTTAAGAGTATATCACTATTCCAACTATATTTTATTGTAGTTTTTCTACAGTGGATTGACTTGCAACAGACTTTATAAAACAATTTGTTACATTTAATTATTTCAATTGAGTGACTATGTGATGGAGTAATTTAAAAGCACGCCCAAACAAACACCAGCAATGCTTCAGGAGTGCCACTCTGGGGATGCAAGGAGACAGTGAGACTGTTAGTCTGAAAGATGTAGAAACAATCCCTTTCCTAGTACAGCATGTACTCTCCTGATAATACTGGCAGGATTGTTGATATTTTGAATGAAGTGGCAAACTTGTTGGCTTTATAAGCCTAAAGACAATTGGAAGTCCTTACAACTAAGCTGGGACCAGAATGGAGGAGGTGGGCCATGCAGTACAAGTGTTGCACTGATCCCTGTCCTAGTACACACAGTTTGCACTGTCAGGTCCTGGTAAGTGAGAGGTGGTCAGAGATCAGGCTCAGTCGCTTCTGCCAGACTCAAAGAGGAATTGTGAAGCTTGCTTCATAGCTCAGCACCTCTGATACACCATGTCAGCTCTGGAAAGAGCACTTGCCCTCCTTCATGGCTTGAAGGTCCTATAAAAGAGTGGCTGCTCCACATGACGTGGGAAACAGAACTGTGGAGAACTGGGAACAACACCTGATGCAGAGCACAGACGTGTGAGTGTATGGACACAGCAACTGCTGGGAGCAGCTCTGCTTGGTAAATAGTGTGTCTTCTGGGGAGAGCAGAACTGCCTGCACACCCAGGGGGACTTACAGTGAAGGTGTTAAAAAATAACCTACTGTTATTCACCATATTTCAGAAGAATGAAGGGGGTGAGTCCACCCTACATGGATATACTGCTTACCATCTACCTGGGCAGAAAAGTAGCTCTATTTCATGCATGAGGAATACTTTACAAGAATGGCAGTACAAAAGAGAGCATCACATACTGTTAAAATAAATTAAATGTGAAAACTGTTGGTAACTGTAGCATAGCTAGTTCCACCTCAGGGTGAGGGAATACTTCCAAAAAGGTCAGCTATATAATTAGCAGCAAATTAGAGAAGAGGTATTACCCAATGAAAGCTCTATCCAACAAGACTGCATTTTGCAACTAGCATCAGCATTTGCCTGCAGCTCTACAAATTTTACATCTTTTCTCCTTAGGGCAACATCTTCTTACTACTTTACAGAGGTCTGGGAGGAGGTTACAGAGAGCTTCATAGCAGCATTGCTTCCCATTTAAGCCTCTAAGAGGCTCACTCTAATTCATTTAATAAAGTAAATGTGAGCTTCAAAGTTTATCGCCTTTCTGCCTAACTAAATATTGCTGTATTATTACACTTGCAAACTGAACAGATTTTTAAAAATACCTGCTGGTAGGCAGGCAGGAATATAAAATCTAATGTAACAGATGAATATTTAGAAGTATTGTAACAGCAACAGCTCAAAGAATCAGAATTGGAAAAGCATTAACATTACTTAAAATAAAGCTATTTGTTAAAGCATGACTTCATTTGTTTAGGGTGTTTCATACAAATTCAATGTCTGTTCTCCCACCTCCATACTATTTGCTATATGCTATATGCTATTTTCTCTGCAGCCTCCCTTCTGGAGAGTAGTTGCTATGTGACTGCTGAGCACAAAGCTTTTTTTTTTACATCTCTAGAACAAGAAAACATGAGTCAAAAGCCATGGCTCCAGCACAAGGACTGACATTGCCTATTTCTTCACGGAAAGAAAAACAAAAAAGTTGTGTGAAATACAGACCAGACATCCCAAGGACATTTAACTATGCGCAATATGCCCCAAGAAGTTACATTCCCTATATATTCCCTGCAGCAAGTTTGCTGTATCTACTTCAGTTAAAAGCTTTGGATTAGCATTATGGAGGTGCCATATTTAGTGTGTTTCAAACACGTCCACCAAGACTCTGAACACCACGTGTTTATGAGGAGCTTCTTGCAGGCTGTCACTTGCCTTGGATTATGTCTGCAATGAGGTCACATTAACAAATGCTGAAAGCTGAGATGCCCCAATTCCATGACATAATCTGCAGGGCTCTTCAGTCTGCTTTCTCTTTACTAGGGAGCAGGGAGTGAAGGGAACAGGAAAGGAAGAGGAGATTTCTACAGAAGTGTTTTACAGACATCAGTGTGTTCATTAGTAGAGTTTTACAGAAGTTTACCATACCTTCCTTCTGATTGCTGTGGTAACACGTAGAGAAATCCTGTAACTAGAGTTCTGTCTAGGTGAAGCTTAACATTTTCTCTTCTGCTTCAAAAACAAATCACTCTTCAAAAAGTAACTGGACAAGTTACTATAAATAGCAGTTTACTGCAAAAAAAATAAGCACTGTATTGCTTATGCAGCAAGTCCATTTAAAATTCACTCCAGTAATTTAAAAAAATTAAAAAAATAGCAACTTACTATAAACAATTTAAAATATGTATAATACAACTTTGTAAGCTCTTCATAACATCATGAATATTCCATGTAAACAATATATTTTGAAGAATTTACTTTGCTCACATTAGTTTCAGTGCATTGTTTCTGTACAACTGTTACTCAATTTCTTTTTTTTTTTTTTAAGAAGGGGACTGTAATATGTTGCCCCAAGTTAAATAACTGATTTTGTTTAGAATCTTCCCTTCCACACACTGATTTGCAGAAAGGACATGGGACAGGGAACTAACATTTGGCCCATTTTTCACTCTGTCCATTTCCACAACTGTAGACAGGCCTGATTTTTCCAAGGCCTTTTGCCACTGTACATTCGTACATACGTTCCTGAACACTGAAGACTGAGATGTTCCTTGTGACTGAAGTGGTTATTTTACACTGGTATACATCACAGACAAGACATCTTCATCCAGGTATATTTAAAGGTAAGGTTCTCCAAAAATCTTTCTGCATTCCATCACTCCAGTACTTGGTGGTCTATCACAATTATGAGTGTTCTTCACCTGATTAGCTGTCAGACGATCATAGGCCATTTTGTACTCTCGGTCAAAAGCATCTGCAGAAACAGAAAACCACCTCTACATACTGTGCTCAAAACCACAACCCAAATACCAGGACAGCTAGGATGCTTGTCAGCAGAATGTAACTGTATAGTCCTTGTTATTCAGCACTTGCCATAGACTGGCCCACACCTAGAGTATTTTTTTTTTCCTTTGGAAGCATGAAAAACTGGTTTGCTTACATTCATCATCTATGCTTTTTTGAATAATTTATAAAACTTACCTATATCAATGTTATCTCTTCCTAGAGCAACAAGTGAAAGAAAGAGTATTTCTCTGTAAAGGCTCCTGAAATTGTAAAAAACCAAAAACACAACATAAGATCAATTTATATACTGCAGTAATATATGACAACACAATTTATATTAAAAATAGATGGAAGTATTTAAAGGTAACTTGTTTTTAAAGGGGCATTTTGAATATAATTCACAACTGCCCCTTCCCTGGATGTGTTCAAGGCCAGGCCAGACAGGGCTTTGTGCTACCTGGTCTAGTGGAAGGTGTCCCTGACCTTGCAGGGGGAACTAAATGATCATGTAAGTCCCTTCCAACCCAAACCATTCTATGACTGCCACCTCCAAAATGTTGACCTCTGCAGGATGCCCTGGACTCCCCACATACAGGCATCACTCGTGGTAGGTCCTTAAGGCATCCCCTGATGTGCTGGAAGTTGCACCCAGTGCATGTAGGGTGCAGCATGTACTTCAACCACTCAACCAAATTCCCCCAAACTTGACATACAGGTCAGGATCTTGTTTTCCTGAATTTCTACATCATCTTAAAAAAACAGGCAGACAAGCAAATCAACACCCTGTCAATGCTCCAGCTGCTAAAAAGACTATTCTATCCTATTATCAATTAAATTCATTAACTCCACATTCTGTGATTTAGGACATATTTTTCCATTAGCAGAGGAATTAGTGAAAATTCTTTCCTATGAATTTAATTTTTCTTGCCCGGAGTTACTAATTTTAATACTCCAGATGTGGTTTCACACTGAGTGGAGAAGAAAGAGAATAACAGTTTCTCAAATTCTTTTTCTAAAAGTAGTTTGAGAACATGATCACAAAAAAAGAAGAATATTTACCAGACCGAGTGATAAATTTGAGAACACTGCTGAAAAAACACTGCTTTTTAATTAAAAAAAACCAACCAACACAGTATGAAAATATAATTAATATTACAAAAGCCTTATTGTTGTGTGACTTTGCTCCACTCACGAATTTTCATATTCTTACCTCTGCCTTTTAATGTGTGGCCATTTGTTCAGTCTCTCCAATATCTGACTCATTGGTCCATACACATCATTCATCTTAATGCTTTTTACCATACTTCTCAAGAGCTCCTGATTAAAAGAGTCATCATCTTTTTGCAATAAATGGACCATTGGATACTTCTGGGCTGAAAAACATTAGAAATGCTGTAAGAACATACACTTGTCTGACAAGTACAAAGTTATTTTTAAAAGGTGAGAGGCTACACAAGCTGCAAAAACATGGACAGATATGTACTGAACAAAGAACAATAAACATCAAGTCAAAGTAATACCAAAGTAAGAAACAAAAAGCACACAGGAGAAAACTCAACAGCTGTAATGGGTCATGAGCTATTTTCAGGCATATGGTCCAACACTGGCAACAAAATTCTTGGTAAGCAAATTCTAAAAATAAGAAAACAAGCTAAATGGATGGACTATCAACGTAAGTTCAGTGTATCACTGAAACATATTCCCTCTTATTCCTCCCTTCCCAATGAAGAAAAAAAGCCACTGGAGATACTGGTAAATGATTTGAAATGGGTATGCTGAAAAACTCAACTTGTTCAAGCAGTTTGCTGCTGAGCATACAACCACCCTCCCTCCCAAAACAAGTCACACAAACTTAGAATAGCAACACCAAACTCACTCTCAAACAAAAGAGTGCGATTTTGACCTGCAAGACAAAAAGTAGCATGATCAAAACTCAGTATCTTGTGTGAACTATCCACAAAGGCATCTTTTTTTTCCAAAGCACATTCAGTTGCTCAACATGAAAATTGCTCTTAAAAAACAAACACACACCAAAAAACCCACAAGAAACAAAGCTTACTCTGAGCATTCCACAAGATATAGAGAGGCTGCCTTGGATCCTGATGCAATTTCATATTGTCCCACAGCATCTGAATAAGCACGTATTTACTGTCCTCTGACATACAGTTCCGTGGAATCTGAACAAGAGAATGCATACATAAATATACCTTATTACAAAGTCATGACAGATTACTTTGTACTTAGAAGATATATTCACACCTCACTGTAAAAAACTTATTAAAACTGCTGTAAAACCAGAGAAAGCTAAATCTGAATGAGATGCCTCACTAAGCAAGTTACTATTTTGTGTATCTTTCTGCAGTCCTAAAATCCTAACTTCCTCCTCCTTCTACTGCTTAACAAGTTATCAAATTCCAATATAACCAACGAGAAACTTATCTTCTTCATAACTGAGGAGCACAAATTACGGTGTAACTAAGAGCTAAACACCCACACAAGCTGAGCCCTAGTTCTGGAGTTATGCATATTTTCCTTCAGTTCACACATTCTTTACCAATTCAGGCCCAGTCCCAGCATATTGTGATACACATTTCTAAGAGTTACTGAATTATCTAATCATTTCTTAAATGAAAAGCAAGTATTTCTCATACCTCAATATTTTCTATCCAATTCCATACCTTGGAGTTTTTATTACAGTGTTCAGAAGAAAGTATTAATCCTGGTAAGTTGCTGGGCAAGTCCAAGCGCCTGAAGTACCACACCAAGTTCCAGAACACAATAGGATGATGATCTACAAAGTCTGCCACTGTTATTGCATGATCCCCTTCATTTTCAAGTAAGCTCTCAAGCTCTTTCCATACCACTAGAGGACTGAGATAAGGAACCGTTATAGGATCAGGACTAGGCAAGTGCCATTCTAGGCCCAAGGAATCCTGGTAAAAAAGAAAAGATGCCATTAGTTGGAATGGAACTGGCTTTACAAAGTCCTAGGAGTACATTTTTTCCCTATAAGACACATCAACAACTAATACTTGTTTAAATAATAAAACCTAGTATTTTTTGTAATTTGAGATATCTAATTCTCTTCTCCTAATTAATGCTGTTTCACATTTCTCTAATATATCACACACTTAAAAAAAAACATTCAAGGTCGAAAAACTACCCACTGTTGGTCCTTGCAAAGTAGCAGGCAGGCTACCAGTAGGAATGATATGGCTCATCTTCTGGTTTTCCTCCTCATCCTCTTCCAATGGACCAAAAGTACTGATACTCCTTGCTACAGGGTGACTTGTACAATCTGACCCAGAGGTGTTTTGTCTTCTTCCTGAGGGAATCTGGATGCTTCTGGCACAGATATTGTCATGCTGCTTAGATTTGCTAGACAGGGGGGGAAAGTTAAGAATCTCAGCTTTTTGTTTTACTTTCAATGCTTAAACATGAACAGAGACAGAAAAACTGGAAATTGGAGCTGAGACCTCAAATTCTACCTGTCAGCCACCACAATCAATCATGCTACACTGCAAGTTTTATTCCTCCTTGCACTGATAATCAAGACAAGTATCCTAAAAGAGTGCATAACAATTTAAGAGTCACATATTCCTACATGGATTTTTATATTAGAGATGAAATTATAAACAGCATGCTGGAAAAGCATGATGTGGCCAACCCAGAGATAAAGGAGAGGCTGTGAGGAGATGGCCTCTCAAATCCATTTCTCCTCTTCAGACAGTATCTTATTAAATTCATTTATGTTGATGGCAAACATGAGCACATCCACAGGGAACCTGAGTGATTTCTGTGCAGAAAATGCAGGTTTACCTCTTTGAATTTATATCCTCTTGCACAGACATCAGTGATGTAGCAAGGCCAACAGGAGCTGCAGTGTTACAGGGCTTTCCACTCTGATTTGCAAAAAGTGATGGGAGCTGCATGTTTTCTGTAGAAGGGCTAGACTTCAGAAAATAACTGCAGTGAAAGAAAAAGCTTAATATTATCTAAAAACCAAAAAAAACCCACTTCAGAATTATGAGTACTCAAAATTGAGGGAAATTCCAATAATGTTATTACCGTCCAGGTCGCCGCAGATCTCTGATTTCTATGCTTAAAAAAGGCAGAAATAAGTTGCCACAGAAGGGACACGTGGTGTTGAGATTTGAATCATCTGCTGTCCAACCTGCCATGATTTCTTCGTCGTGAACCAAACAGTCACAAGTTCGACATCTTGAACAGCTTGAGATGAGGACCTGCAGACAGCAGAAAACACAACTCCCCTATTACACATTCTCAAAACTACTGCTTTTTTATCAGGCAATTAAAAATATAGCAAAAAAAAAATAATCGAGAACTAGAGTCTGAAAGATTTCTTAATCTTTGTTCTATAAATCCACTTAGTTTAAAGTATATTTATTTCATGAGTGTAGTTCCAGATCTTAGTCTACTTCCTACAACAGAACAAACCATTATGTTTGCAAACATAATAGTACAGGAATATTTATGCAGCTATAGAAATTATTCTTAGAATTTAAAAACTCTTCTGTAGAGGCTGCCAATATAATAGAAATGGGGGGAGGGAGGGGTGGGAGATGAAAATGACCAGTCATTAAACAAATCCACTGGAACAAGAAGTAAAAAAGCAACCCAAAACCAGTGTAATAGTGAAAAGCAACATGATCTTACTGGACCTGGCAATAAGAAATACCTAGTTATCTATTTTGCATTTTTAAATGCATAGTGCTATTTAAAGAGTTGGTATTTTCACTTTAAACTAATTGAGATGCTAGATTTCAAAGGCATCCGATTCTCAAGCTCTTGAGAACTGTAACTTTAAGGACCAGAAGATGTGACTGCAATCAAGGCACCTCTAGAGCAGGATTTGAAACCAAACTTAACCCGGTCACAGAAATATTTAGCTGTCTTTCAGAGGATTACTTTTAAACTCTGAACTTCAACAGAGATGCAGATAGGATTTATATTTAAAGACATGCTTTTAGCATAGCAGTTCAAATCAATACATCATCCTGTACCTCCATAGCATAGTTCTGAAACACACTGGTACTGCTTGTACTGCAAGAAGACACCAACTCTGATTTGTCCGGTAAAGGGAACTTGGAAAGAGAACCTATTAACAGAAGAAACCCAAAGTATTAGTTATTCTGAATAAGTTTTTTTAGTCAACTGTTTTTCTGGTCAAACAATACCACAGCTATAAAACGCATGATGGAAGGTGCAACCAATCAGATCTCCTCAGACAGAAAGCAATGAGAAGTGTGAGGCTGCCATCTGCCCAGCACCAACAACGGCAGAAATAACATCTACCAACACAGGAATTCCATATGTTCAGTTTTCTTCTTTTACCACAGTTGGTAGCTTGGAAACAAATTTTGCATATTAATGGTTTCATACCCACACTTTCTGTCTGGACAAAAACTGGGGAAGGATAAGAGGTGCTGCATGTGACCACAGATACCCTGACCCTTCTCCTTGCCCCACTAGTGGAGCCAGACTCCCCTGAGGATGCCCCAATCCCCTGGCCGTGGCCTCAGCCTCCACTGCCCCACACCAGTTCCTCCACATCCCACATACTGGGGAGCCAAATCTGGCCATGCTCTTGTAGGTGCTAAGCTGAAGGATATAAGTAGATAGAGCTTCCTTTCATCTGTGTTCCACAAAGACAGTAGTACAGACATTGATCCAACAGTCACTTCCAGTTATCCATAGCAGATTAGCAAAAACAAATACACAGTCTGTTTTGTTAATCAGTTTCAACAGTGGCTTATAGAAAAATGATTGTTCAAAAAAGATTAATATTACTTTTAAAAAACAAAATCACACTGCTAAAGTTACTGTTTGACAGTTTTACAGATTTCTTCTGGATCTCTACAGCTGACACAAATTAGATTACACAAATACTCTAGGACCCAAAGGGTCTCTTATTTGCACAGGTATAGCATCCAGAAACTTATTCAGGGACAGGATGTTACTACACAAGTTATTCCAAAAGAAAACACACAAAACAAGGTTCTACAATGAAAATATCCATAGGTATGGACATATCTGTATGAGTAATAGTTAGCAGGTAGGGAAAAAAAAAATAAAAAATTACTTATTCTACAAAAGGGACTAACAATGATCCCAAATTGAGAATTATGAAAGAGCAACTTCTAAAACTGGAATACTTCTGTTCAGATTGATGAATGCAATGCAAGAGCTGGTCTCTTACCACACTGGTCAAATTGTTTAGATAAGCCATCATGGGAAGCTGAGCTTTCTAGGCTTGTCCTGCTGAGGCCAATTCTCTTGATTTCTGATGTGTTATTCTCCTGAGGAGATGCACTTTCAAAATCATTGCAGACATCTTCGTCAGTTAGAGAAGTAGATTCTGAGTCCAGAGCTCCAAGAGATGAAACACTTGCTCGATCTGAATTTTGATCCTGAGAGAAGAAAAGAAATTCCACTAAGAAAAAGAAAGCACAAGTATTTCTGAAAAGAAGAGGCAGCCTTTGTTGTCTCAATAAATTCAAGTACAGTAAATTCAGATCTGTATAAAGAACAAAGGTGACACGAGGCAAGTTTCTCTCAGGGTTACACAGCTACATGAGGATTCCTTTTAAGACATTCTCTGAATAAAAAGATGGAAATGAAAACTTAAATATTTTAATCCTATACTTTTTCCCACTCTTGCTGTAGAAGTTATTAGCAGCTATAGGAATGCATTAGGATAAGCAAGGTATCATTAACACTTCAGCTAATTAGTCTCAGATTGCTTTTAAACACATTAAGACAACAACATAACAGCAAAATGCATCTATTCTGATTCCCAAGGATTGGAAATAAAATTAATTTCGGTTTGAGTTGATAATAACAAAGAACTTTCTAACCAAATGACCTTTATATCAAATTAACCTTAAATGACTTTGGTAATCAATACAAGCAGGTTTCCCCTTTTTCATAAAAGCTATAAATAATTAAAACCATTATTGTTTAAGTATTTTTCTTTATGTAAAGAAGGGAAGGCAGAGCAGTCTTTTCTGTCCTGTCAATACGTAACAGTATACTTAGGTCTTCCCATTAAATATACACTGAACCCATGCTAGACCCAAACTTTGTTTGATTCAGAGCAATAAATTAGGGTCCTGGCAATTCCAACATGATGAAACAACTTCATGCACACAGTCTACCATGATTCATGTCATTGAAATGGGGGTATCCTCACTTGGGAATCAGCAATTAAACCTTTATAAAGCTTTTTCTTTAATTTATAGGACCTTTGGGTTTGTGGGGGAAAAAAAATAAGTAATTACAAACATTTACCTTAGAGGATGCAGCATACATAGTAAATTTTGAGTACCACTTGCTAGCTTTCTCTGCAACCCCTTTTCCAGCAGAAAACATGCTGCTTTTTAGAACATCAAACTTGGGTGTTAACAGAGTATCCAGGTTGAACGACGGTGAAGACACCAGTGTTAATGCACCAGTAGCATCTGCTGGCTGCTCCTTTGCTGGACTGTTTGGAGAATAAGCTGGGGAGGACCAAAGTCTGTCTCTTGGCCTTTCTTCATGCCTTGCATGATAACTCTTGGATTTGGTAAGATTGGATGGCCTTGGGGAGTTGGGGGGAAGGCTGGACCTCCTACAAGGCTGGATTACTGTTGGGCTCTTTTTATTAGCATTTCTGTCATCACAGGGTTTTTGCAACTCAATGCTTGGGGCACGACTTGACAAAGGGCTGCTCATGTTGTTCATGTACATGACTATTTCCTCAGCTAAATCTCGTCTTGCAGATGGTGTAGAAACACTTCTGTCATCCTCATCCTCTTCATCCTCTTTCTGTTGTTCTGTCTCAGCAACCAGCAGAGACAGTGGATCAAACCCAGTTTCAACATCAGTCTTTTCAACTGTCTTTACTGGAAAGCTGCTCTTTCTTTGCAACCTTCTAGATTTTTCACAGGAGGGTTTCACTGCTGTAGGTGTTTCTGGTTCTGCATCCAAATCTTCCAGATCAAAGATAACAGGAGACTCTGTTTTATCTGTAAAACTGCCATCAAAAGCTGCATCTTCATCACTAGATTCTTTCTCCAGGCTCTCTCTCTTAGATCCCAAAGAGGAAGTTCTTATATTAAGAGTTTTTGGCCTTATGCTTTTCTGTAATGCACTAGATAGGATTCTGGCATCAGCTCCTAGTTTTTCAACAATTTCTCCAGGGTTTGATTCCTGATTGATGCTATTTATCATGAGTCCCACTAACCCATCTCCACTCAGGTTACGGCTCCTGCTTTCCCATGGCACTTCCCTCAGGTCAGGTTCAATGGTGCTTTTATGTCTCTTTCTTAAGGATTTGCTTTCTATAACTTCTGCTTCACTGGCATCCTCAAAAGGTGATGTAAACAGCAATCCTACAGAACTCTCTGAAAAACAGAAGGAACAAGGTGCTTTATCTTTTGCAATGCAAGAACACTAAAAATCACAAGAGAATGGAAATTTGTCTCATCTTTCAAACAGTTTACAGCACAGAAATTAACTGTGTTGTGCTAGTGGTTGTAAAGTTGAGTTGACCATGGTCATACTTCCAGGAATGGTCAAACGATACAACATTTAGAAGGGTGTCAGATTATACAACTCAAGAGTACTCTGAGACACACCATCAAGAGAAGTCTCCAGGGAGACAGCAAAAGTATCTAGGAAGTGGCAGAAAAACAAAAGTACTGCTTTTTAATCTGATGAGTTATTAAGTTGAGTTATAGGAGTCACTACAAAAGAAATTGCCATTGTTTTGCCAGAGCATAAAGATGTAGACTTTAAAGTATGACATTACAGTATTTCAAGCACAGCTGACAGTATTATAATAACCAGATCACACACTACCAACAACTAGTGAAGCTGCCTGAAAGTTTCTTTTAATTGTACTACATAGAAGCCTCCTGTCCATCCTGAGGCAATGTATTAGCTGCTGGAGGTTACACAGAAAAAACAAGACCTCATCTGTAGGAAAAAAAAAAGGAAAGAAAAAAGGAAACAAAAAAAAAAAATATCTGGAAATGCAGGATATTCATCTGCACCTCCCTAACAGTATAGGCAGACTAACCTAAACTCACTCCCACATCAGCCATGGCCATTACACCAACAAAATGCTATATGTTTTGTGGAACACAGAACTCAGGCACACTACTTGTTAGCTGGTGTTAACATGGCATATACAGACAAAACTGTAAAAGAATCAGTATCTATTTTCTCTTCCACTCACCTGTGTCTGCTTCTGCTACTGTGTTGTCAACGGTACCGTTGAGCCGCACGATGCTGGAAGCAGCTTTGGCATCACTTGAGTTCTGGTAATTCAGCTTAGAGAGGCAGTCACCACTCCCTTTTGTGCTCTCCACTTCAGACACTGGATACAGAAAAAGACAGACAGTTCTTGGAGAACACTGATTATGAAGAATATTTCCAAGGAATGCATATATGGCAATCTGTAGTACTTGCACATTGTAACTACACAATCTGATCTTGCTGTACACTTGCATGAGGTCTACGCTGCTCAACTGTAGGTAAGGAAATAATGAGCAGCAGATGTAAAACCTGAAGAAAACTAAGAAGTCCACAGCAAAACCAAAGCCCTTCTCATTTCTGATGCATCTCCTACATTTTGAGAATTCTGTGGAGCTGACTAATTAATTTAGATCTGCTCTTACAGACCTGCAAAAATTCAGCTATTCTTGTGGGATTTACAAGGAAAAACTGGTAGAACAGTCTTTCCTGTAGATTATGCCTATAAAGCAATTTAAGTTTATAAAAAGACAAAAACATTAAGCTGTAATTATCATTAAGCCTTTATTTTACCATTATCACTTATTTGAAACAGAGGAGGGCAAAAAAAGAACTATAATTTTGTAAGTTAAACCATTAGACATCCAGAAAAATACATTTACAGAAAAGAACTTCAGGCATAGCATAGGCAAGAACTGGCATTATCACAGACTCACTGTAAAAAAAAAAAAAAAAAAAAAAGAAAAAGAAAAAGAAAAATCAGCTGCCCCATTTAGCTTTTGCTGAACTTCTTATTTATCCACAATGAGCTAAATATCTGTATTCCCAAGATACATACGAGAACTGGAGTCACTCTCTCTCTTGTCCTCTTTTTGTTCTTGTATATCTTGAAGACAAGTTTTACCTTGCTTGGATTCTTCTTTGAATGATGTGTTATTGCCCAAGTCTGAAAGTCCCCCTGTCATAGCAGGGCAATGACAGAATAAAGACTATTATGGTATTTAATAGCATGACATTGTTCAACAGAATGAATTGAAAATCAACAGTAATTCAAAGGCCTCTTATCAAGTACCTTCCAATTAACAGGGAACATTTTGCCACAAAAAAGTGAGAAAAATTATTGGATTGTTTTTTACACTATAAACACTGAAGGATGAAATTAGAGGGGTAATTTTCAACTTTTCTTTTAAATACCATACTAAAGCCCTGCTTGTCTTTGACTGTTGCCTGGTTTATTTCCTCAAACTGCCAAATCTTTTCAAGAACTCTAAAAGGCATCTAAAAATGAGTTCATTTTAGCACAGAGGTCTCAGAGTTAATCCATTTAGGTCTCATGGTTTTAGTCTAAAAAGTAAAAAATTGTGTCTTAAAAATAGTTGCCTCTTAACTATCATCAAAAAAGAGGGAAAGCAAAAAAAGAGGCAAGGCTGGACAAAAGCTTCTGCCAGTTATGAGACTGGCTACTGTACAAACCAGGATAACTATCACATTGATTTCAGGTTCTTATTTTGTCTCCATAAAGAGAAGATACAATAAATAAAAGGGTAGACTGTTTTGGATTCAAAGAAACAAATTTTAAAAAGACTTTTTTAAAAGTTATGCAAGTTGTTTACTTTTCTCTAAAATGGTTTTATCATCAAATTCACAAGAGAAAACCTTCTGAAATAATTTTCTTATCAGTATGAAAATAAAGAAGAAAAGGATGGGAATACTCTACCAGGAACAGCTGTATGTGAGGTGTTTGCTGGTAGCTTTTTCAATGCCTTTTTAAACTGTGCTATTCCTAAAACAACGTTCCGGATTTTCATCCATAGGAAATAGCCACCTCGATTGCTGGAAGGCCAGGTGCTCTCCAACACCGCCTGGTTTGGAAATGTCAAAGACATCTTAAGAAATAGTCAGGTGTGAAACCATTAACTTAAATTTTACATTGGGCTACACTGGCAGTTATAAAGTAGACTTCTAAACATACAAATATAAAGACAACAACAATCATTCTGTCCTGTATTTCTCCCAGTTACTAGAAAGGACAGAATTACATCTGAATTGCTCCCTTATTTTGCTTGCTTCGATTTGCCTGGATAAAAATGCAATTTCCCTCCCCCACCCCTTTCAAAAATACTTACCTTATTGTAGTAGCCATAAGTAATGGCATTAGGGTCAATACCAGCTTTCTGCATTTCAAACAGCACTCTCACTGCTAGCACGGGCTGACCATACTGCCCACACAGTTGCATGAGCACTCGGTAGCACACCTGGAAACACACACGAGTTACCCTGGGGCTTGGACAGTCAAACGCTTCCCCTGCTCAGCAACACCCCACAGGCTGTTTCTGAAATTCTGGGGTTCACTTATTTTACCTCATCAGGTGGATCTATTTTTTTGGTATGCATTTTTTGTAGCACATCATAGGCTGTTCTCAGAGCCCTGACTTTGGAGTGGCACACTTTGACATATGCAGGAAGGCAGATAAACCAAAGACCATAGCAGTGACGTAACAAACATCTGGACCACATCTGGGGTATGGATGAGTACTTCTTTGCAATTTTATGTGCAGATTTAATTTCCTGTAAAGAATCAGAAAGATTATTTATGTATATTTACATTAGACAAACCTACACGGTAAAAACTGAACATGTATCATTATATCTACAGAAACTGCAACATTAATATGAAGAAGATAATTAAGTAGGGAAGTAAATCAAAGCAGAGTAAGTCATACCAAAAACAGCTGTTCTGCAATACTCTCCTCCTAAATTTTTGGATTTCTTTATATTTATGTCTATTATTTCTGGTCTGTGTTTTTTGTAACGAACATTTGAAAGTTAGAGCCCTTCTTAAAGGCCTGGACAGTGGAAGGCAATAAAAAAAATTGATACCTACACCCAGCTCACAGAGAACAGTATGAAGAAGGCAGAAGGTACAGGGACAGCCCAACAAATGACATTCTGTGTACAGGGGCCTTGTGCAATACGGTATAGGCAGGAAGTACAGGTAAATGTCTAAAGAACAACTACCATGGCCACCCCTGAGTCATGCTATCAGCCACTGCCAGTCAGTCTTTGGCCCACCTCAAGATGAAGGCAGCAAGCCAAGCTGTCACTTCCCAAAGCAACTCACACTACAGGAATACCTGCAAGTACCTGTTTAGTCCTTCTGAACATTGGTGATGGGCTGTTGGGACTGCTGGCTTTTGAGGACAGCTTGTTATTTGGTGCTGTGAGAAATCCTTCCGGTCGCTCAAACAAATCTAGTTTTAGCACTGGAAACCCATTATAGCTGTAAAAGAAACAGGTCACTTAACTGCTGTAGGACAGACCCAAAGTAAACACCCCACATAATGGCAAATTAAATAAATTACACAGTTGCACTGGAAGCTACACAGGAAACAAATAATATACAAGTAAACCTTTAAAGGAACAGTTGACAAAGCAGCTTACTAAACCACCTGCATGGTTTCACAAGTCTGCACAGATAATCTCTTAACCTGTTATTTTAGTGTAAACAACTAAAATAAGTGTTTGCTTTCACAGCATTTTCTTTCGTAAACATGTGAAATGCATTAGTATTGACTCTAGCTAATTAAAAAAATATCTGTGTAGCTTAGACCTTAGTAAGCATCACAGGAAAGATGCTTATAAAAATCAATACAAACCACATCAAGCTACCTAAAAGACTAAATTAAATTGGATTGGAAAGTGTTCCTCAGAATTAGTGAAGAAACCAATAGATAAACTCCTTTGATATAACTACTAAATTAGTAACACCAGTTTTCAGTGATTCCTTGAATTGTACTCTCTCCCCAGAGTACCTGCAACTTTTATTGTTATCAGTAGTAGCAGCAGACCAACAGACTGGCTGCAATAATTTCCATTTTAACCTTAAGAAATGTCACCAGGTAGCACAATGTAACATGAACACATAGCCAGCTTTATTAAGTGTGTGCACACATACAAAATTACTACAACTCCAAAAGATCTGGCACACTAGGCATTGTATGTACACATTTTTACTTGAGAAACATAAAGGGACAGGAAAAATGCCCTATACTTGGTGGCTATCACAAGAACTTAGAAACTAAACTCTACAAGAGTGGCTGTTAGGAATTTGGCTGGTATCCTACTGTGTCCTTAGGTTACCTGTACTGCAGAGGGTGTTCTTCACCATTTGGCAGGTGAGGGATCTCGGGTGGTGTTATGAACACCGTGTGCTCACTCTTGTATGACTCATCCAGCTCTATAAGTCGTGTTTCCCCAGTTTTGTCCATGTCTACCTGGAGAAGTTAGGTCAAAAGAAAAAGTCATGACTACTGTTACTGTATTTTCTGCTGTTGAAGCTACACAGGCAAGCAGGGTAAAGTCTGTATCTGCATCAACGGATGTCTTGCAAAGTTATAATTACAATAGTAAGGGCTGCTTCATTTTTTGTATATTTTATCCCAACAAAATTATCTGTGTTTAATGATACACTCTGACTCAACTCTTTTCAGATAGAAATTCTGCAGTAAGATTCTACAAACAACACTTATCTAGCAGTTTCAGTAACTTGCAGAGTCATTAAGGTCATGCTAGTTTGCAGATAATGCAGAATTACACATGCATTCATAGAGAAAATGGAATAAAAACATGTGACCTTACTAAAATTAAAGGGAGATAGAATACTTTTTTTTTTCTAAAGAACTGTAATCTGAAAGGTGAAGGGTTGCTTCAGGATTTTTTTTCTCCTTCAGATAACTCAAGAGTTTTATGTGTGAGAACACAGCAAATATTGGGTGGTCCTCTCACAGCTCAAAAAGAAATTAAATTCACAGATAATTAAGGCAACTTGTAGTAATACATTAAGCATAAATTATGGCTCCACCTGCTTGTTTTGCTAGGCTAGCAAAGCAAAGATTTATGCTTAAACTGAGTGGCTTGTAACTGGACACCGAATTTGACCATAAATCTTTGCTTTGCTAGCCTGGCTACTGCAGAGAGGAGCAATCTGCACTTCCCAAATCAATGCCCCTTCTTTAAAGACAGCAGCAGAGACATACTCTGAGGCTCCAGGCAAATTTAAAAGCATGGGTCAAGTGGGAGAAAAAAACTATCCAACAATTTTACTGAGAGAATTTTATTCCATCACTTGAGACAAAAATAAAGAACCAAACTCAGTAACCCAAACAAGGTATTGGAAAACAAACTGTTTCCCTTTGAGAAAAAGAACACACAAGCTTTCCACTTACAAGCTTACTCTTGCTACTGTTCACACTACACAAGCCACTCAGAACAGAGGAAATACAACATGTATTGCATTCCACCTGAGAGGCTTGACTTGATATGTGTACTGACACTTGTACTGCTGTCTCTAAACTTCTGTCATCAGTTGTGTCTCCTCAAGTACACCACAAGTGCTGCTTCTGCTTCTGGCATGAGATATGTCTCCCGGTCAAACAGCTGGCACTACCCAAATTGATTTACTTCCTAGCACATGGCACATGCTTTTTGATCACGTATTGATGGCCCCAGAGTTCAGCTCAAATACTGTCACAGTTTACATTTATAGCCACTATTTAAATGGCAACCAAATCACAGCCAAATGGTATATTATTTAAAAAAAAAAAAAAGCAAGCTGTGGGACTCAAGGCATGAAGAACATGTGTCCTTAAGAGTTTAGCAAGACAGAATTAATGTACAAAAAGAAGTATATTCCACAGTTCTCTCTCTCCGGTGAGGTGGAAATATATCAAGTAGTTTCAGTAGAATTCTTCAATATTTAAAATTTTATAAACATACAAAAAGTTGTTCTTAATTACACATTTTACTGCATGAGCCAGATGGAAAGCATTAGCAAATTGAAGCTGCCAAGCAGCAAGAACATATGGCTCCTGAAAAGTAGAAATAAACTAAACCTTACTTGGCAATTTAAACACTTCTAAGGACGTAAAAATTCCACAGCTACTAATTTCCATCACTGAAATGTAATCAAGCCAGTAGCTTAAATATGTGTTGAATCGAGATAACTTTTGAACTCCTGGAAAAATGAAAACTTGGGAGACAATTGCACTGTATCTTTCAGTAGACAACTTGTCTACAAAGTAGACAACTCCTTTCAGCTCTTCTGTACTTACATAGCAGAAACAGCCATAAATTCAAACTGTAAATAGTTGTTTTCAGTCTTCACTAGTAATCCCTTTGGAACAAAGAGCAGGTGACCTACTTTGTAGGAAAACCTACACAACACATACATTACTTAAACATCAGCATCCCAAATAGAGTGTTACAGGTGACCAGGAAGATGACAAGTAGGTGTGGAATTTCTTATAATATTAATAAAAATTTCTTTCATGTTACAATGGAAGCAAACAGGGATATAAAGATTGTGGGTTTCAGTTCAGGTCTCCTGAAAACAAAAACTATTGCAAAAAACCCAAAGGAGACCAGCACAGAAGCAGACAGCAAGCTATTCCCTTTACTGCGACACAAACGTGATGGTAGAGTAACAGAACCCACCAAAAAACGGCAGGTTACACAGAGCTTTTACATGACACACCATAACAAATCTTGCCTGCTTTAGGTAACCCATACATCTGACACCATCAACATATCCACATGAAGACATGCTTACTTTGTCCACGCAGTCATCAAAAAACGCAAGGCTTGCGTCCTTATCGCTGACAAAGGAACACTCTTCAATGAAGCGGATGAACATCTGAGTTTTGGTCATCAGGGTGTAGAACTTCTGATGGGAACGATCTCGACTTTTGAGGAAGCCTATAAGGTGACATCATAAGCATGTAAGAATGGCTACAACAAGAAAGCCCTCCCCACACACCTTACATTCTACCAACAAGCAATAACTGCACTGTAACCTCTGTCAGTACAATGCAAGTTTTTCTGTACTTGCATTTTTTCCATCCTTCACAACACCAGCACTGAAAATATTTTTGTTCTTTAAAGAAGAATCTAACATACTAAATTAATGGGCAGAAAATAAGTTTATGACTCTTCACCTTGTAGTTCAAAGAGGGAACTTGCATCTGTGGCTGTTTCAGAAGGTGCCTCTGTTATTGGCCTGAGGTAAGACCTGTAACCTTTTAGTATTGAGGCCATGAAACACAGAAATGCTTCCTGGATCTCCAAATCTAACAAATGTAATTTCTTCCCAGAATTAAAATCATAGTCATTCATTGCTAATTCCATTAACGCATCTTCTCTTGGTCTCTGTTGCACTGTAAACAAAAACAACATTGTAACATTTTAATTTCCCCTCCCCCCAATATTGGTAAATAAAATTCTCTTTATGCTATTAGATTCACTGATTACTGAGCTCCATGAAGTTTGGAATAGATCAAAATATATACAATTAAATTCAATCATGAGATTCAAAAATGGATTCAGCTTGACCTTATACAACTCCTGTACCTCTGGATAATACCAAAAGTAAGATATATTTATTTTTTCAGCACCTTAGATACTACAGCACTAGAGAGAATCAGTATGGACAGAGCTTTAAAACCCCTCAAAGTAAGCTGTTTGTAAAAACATGCGAATTTATACAAGAGCTGATTAAAGCAGCTTATTTTAGGGACAAACACATGGATGGGATGCAAGCATTACATCCTAGTAACTTCAGCAGCCAAAAAGCACTGCCTTATGGAAGTCTCCTCCACCCCAAAAGCCCCTCCATGGGTTCTCTAATCTCTGAACGTCAAGCACAAATTTTGCCATTCTGTATGAAAACATTATGTTTAAGGTCAGGGGTGACTTATGGACATAATGAATTTGATACATTCATTTATCTGTTAACGTGGCACAATGTATCCAATGTAAATCTTTTTATATACTTTCCCACTCACTTTCTGCCAGTTGCTGATATAAATTACTTAAAGTGTTCATCAAATTTTTACAAGGTTTCTTTGGTAAGATCTTCCATGCAATAGCTTTCTTATCTCCAGTTCTGGAAAGGAAAGGAAAAAAAAGTCATGAGTATACACTGGAACATGTGGGTATATTGGACTGTATTAAGAGGACTTTTCTATCCCACTTAGAGAAATGGGATTAAAACAGGAAACTCCATTAAAACAGGAGTGAGCAAGATTGAAAACTAACCCAAGTGAAACCTGATTTACTGTATGGAGATTTGATCACAGCCATCCAACCAATGCCCTGAACCTCAAAATGATAATGATTATGCAGCCACACTCTTTAGCACTGAAATCAATCCACTTAGAATACATAAAAGATAGATTAATAGTATTAAGCACCTGCCATTGCACAACCACCACACATGCTATATTCTGAACCCTATTTACTTAAAGTAGGATGGTCATTGTAATCCAAAATTAATTTGATAACTGCTTTGTGTTTAGTGTGTACAGACTGGACTTAACTTTATCATGCTGGAAAAACCCTGACAACTTCCTTTGTCAACAGAGGGCACCAGCAAGCCTCGAGACCCTACTGGTTACAAATTCACAAAAATTGTAAGCATTTGTTTGACACATTTTTCCATTCAATGAAATTGAATTAATCTAAGAAAAGTAGAGAAAAATTAGCTAAAAGTAGAATGAAACTAGAAATAACTGGAAATAATTTATTTTCCATTTAAAAATACGTAGCTAATTAGACAAATGCCAGAAGAAATGCACAAACATGTTCTTAGCCAAAAAGTAACAAAATCCAAACCGAAGTTATTGCAGCCTAGTTTGAACTAGTTCCTAAAAATTTTAGAGCAGAATTGCTATACAAACTTGCTATCAGCATAAAACCCTTAAGAAACATTTCTGGTTACCAGTACTTAATATATATAGCCTTCTGTAATTCCACAAACAACTACTGAAGAAAAAAACAATCCCAAAACAAACCCACAAATATAATCATTTAGAAAGAAATAAGTTTTTGGCTAGACATAGTAATGCTGCAAGGCTGCTGCCAATAGGAGGATGACCCAGAAAAACACTGGCTAAAGACTTGGAGAAGTAACACTAAGGACACACCGAGTATATTAAACATTATATTAAAATACCAGTCTAATTCCAAAATACAAGTTTAATAAATGTTGTGTGGTTTAGAATCTTGAACCAGTAGCCTTATGTTCTTCTATCTTTGTATCACATCACAACAAGGAAACAATGCTTTGAGTATAATAACATGAGCTGATTCCCAATGGTTTTAAATGTGCACAGCTATCCTTGCTACTGTTTTAGATACTAGCTAATCAATATTACAGAAAAAGGTAGCACTCTACACAGTTCTGAAGAAGAATTATTATAATACTATCACTTCAGTTTGTTAATGATTACATGATTGTAAGACTGACACTCAAAGTTCCCGTCTCTAATTCTCAACACAAAGTTCCCATACTTCATATGGATGCAAAGTATGACTTGTTATAATTTTCAGACAGATGCCAATATGAAGATTCTAGAATCTCTTCAACACTTAAGAAAGGTGATTGTGGCAAACTAAAATTACTATTCCCCTCCAGGGACAATGAAGTGGGACACAAGATGGTTAACCAAGGAAACATGCCAACACGTGCAGTAAGATTTTTATGTAACAGAACAGAAGGCAATAATAATGTTCCATGAGGACTGTATCTCCACTCTGCAGTGTTGGACAAGCGATGTCATTTCTAGCATCCTCTTTTCAAGAAGAAGGATATATTTGAAAGTTTAGATGTTTAAACCAAACAAAACTCCCCAAATGTTTGCCAAAAAGCTGGTTTTTGCTTTCAAAAACAGGAGGCAAGAAGAAATACAGAAGAAAAATTGTTAATAAATACTTACTGAGAAATTGTATTGGTATCCAAGTCCACACAGCTAACATCTGGTGGAGGGTCATAGAGATCAAAGTATCTTGAATCAATTCCCACTATGAATGGGCATGGTGCACTTAACACATCTGCCAGTGCCAAGGGACAGAGAGGAATATATGGGCAAGGCCAGTGGAAGGGAAATATCATCTTTGAACATAGGCAGAGACAAAAACTTAGGTTAAACATGTATAATAAAATAGCCTATTCAAGTACAAAACAAGCATCACTAACTGCCACTTCAAAATCTTTTAACCTGACAGATGATTATTACTGAAAAACCAGATACAGATTATTCAATTAAAAATGCACTCAATTCTCTAAAATTATATTGCTTTAATTGGTAGGAAAAAAGGTCTTCAGTATAAGAGATGGTACATAGCACAGATATAAAAACAATACTTAGTGAGGACAGGCAGGAAAATAACACATTTTAAATTCCTCTGCAAGAGAGAATGCAGTGTTATTTGGGCAAATCAGGAACCTGTATTCAGTGCACTGTGATGGCCAAAGAACCTGCTTAGTTACAATATTTACACACAAAGAAACAACAACAGCTACTATCTCTCTTCTGTCTTCATGGGATAACAGTAGCAACATGTTTTTCTCTTTAATGAATATTTTAATTCTTATTTTTAAGTAACTGTTAAGCCTAACAACACTACTACTAATTTTATATTTTATAAAAAAACATTATTTTTTCTACTTGCAGGTGTATGATTCAGGGAATGATACTTACAGAGACTAATGCCTCTGTCACACTAGTAAGGACAGAAGGTCGCAATGAATGGATGAGAATTTTGTGTTCGGTCACTGCAAACACAAGTAGAGTTACAGCATTTTCAGGTCCTAAATTCTGAAGTAGTGTAGAAAACTTGCCCCCACTGTTAAGGAATATATACATATTGGTGAGTTACAAGGGATCATAAAAAAAGAAAAACAAACAAAAAAATCAGTAACGAAACAGAAATCAAAGCATTAGAGTAGGATTTTATAAACTTAAATCTGCAAATCTTTCTTTGAAAGAAGAGTGCAGAGTACTTGGTACACCTCCCTGTGTACCAATGGCTACTGCCCAATAGTGACCATAACTACTTGAGACTCTTCCATCAGTCTAGACTATTTTCAGGACATGTGCTTTTCTTTCTTGAAAGCAATTTACAGGGGGATGATATTTGTTTTTAATCACTCTCTTGAAAAGACAAATTTCAAATGTGTCCCAGAACTCCCTCAATTACGTGACAATATTACCTTGCACTATACCTTGGGAGCCCAGGTACCAACTCCTAGAAAGGGAATCTAATTATACATATTCTGCCTAAAGAACCACTACAATTACTTGAAATAACACAGATACTGTTCATTAAACATGTATCCTAGTCACAGAGCAGGTCTCATCACAAATACACTTCATACATATAACTACCTACAAAAGGCACCAGACAGGGTAACTTAATTTGCACAATTACAGCTCCAAGTACCACATATTTTCTGCAATGTAAGTCAGAACACATACACAATTAAAGAGAAGATACTGCTACTTACCTCAGTGGAAGAGGTGATGACACAGGTTGGCTAAGAATCAGGTTATCATGTGGAGATAGCTGGAAAAAAGATTTGTAAATACTTACTTTTTACTCTGTACATTGGAAATATTTTTTAGAAATTACTCAACTACCTCAAGGAACACCTAAAAATAAAATGTAAACAAAGCCAAATCTTGTATGGCCCAGCTGCACAGCACTGTGAAAGTGGCACACAATGCCACATTCCTTTCTTACAGTAGTGATACGACCTCAAGAGAAATCATTCACATATTCAACATGAATAGGGTGATTCAAATGAGTACAAGAAAACAGGTACTGAAGCAATTTATCAAAGCTCAACTGACATTTTCTGCCATAGTAAATCCAAGGTAACAAGATATCAGTTAGCTTACTCCCCTCTGCTAAGTGGTCACACATGTTCTATTGTATAAAAGTACACATAGAAGTAACAGCAGTAACTCAGTAAGTCACAGTAACTTGTACAACTGAGCTGCAAGATCAGACAACTTCTAGTAATACTTCATTTGTGAGTACATTTCAGTTTAGACCCCACAGCAAATAACCAGAGAACAGCAGTCAGAAAATCAGATGAATTACAACCACAAACAATGAAGCACTAAGGCCGGAACGTCTGTGCCTGGACAGACACAGTAACCGTGCAGCATTCCCAGGAGTCTGTGCAGTCCTGCTTCCTTGCGTGCTTCACAGAGCAGAGCTTTGGAAGGCTAACGCTACATTTGGCTATAATGACAGATGAGGATGGCCACACCACTCCACATGCTAATTTGTCTTCAAGTAAGTCACCTTGTGACAACAATCACCATTAGCTTGTTCAGTGAAAGAATTCAAAGAAGTCATTTTTTCAGCCTGAGGTAACCTTCATGACCTGCCTCCAGAAAGGAAGCATCAGTCTAATGTCCTATGACTGTTTCATTTCAGCAGATAAACACAATCAAACATCTATTCAGAGAGCACATCTCCCTTAGGGAAAAGGGGCACTTACTTCACCTACTCTTCAGGGAGAGAAACATATTATTACCCAACATGCTCTTCAAGTTGTGAATAAATCATTAGAACAGGAATATCTGTGCAACAAGGGAATGTAGGACATGGAGAAGAGACTCCAAAAAATTTCAGATCAGAAACAATCTATGGAAAAGGGCAGCTGGAAACTGGCAATCAGCAGCACTCCTGACTCTTTTACTACTGGCTGTAATTTCTTTGAAACTTAAGTGTCATACACATGCTGTGTTCTCTCTCCCTTGTAACAGATGCTAAGAAGGATCTGAGAATGGGTCACACGTTCAGACTGGTATAGATGTAGTTACTAAGAGGTATCAGCTCTCATATCAGAAAGCAGATAGGCACTCACAAGACACTCCACAGCAACACATTCAGAGGGATTTGCTATACTAATCATTAACAAAAGACTACCATGTATGACATTAACAAGCTTCAGAGAGAAATTATTATTTCTTTGAAGAAATGGAATCCTAAGAACACAACATTTCCCATACTATTTTTGGGAACAGATAGAATCATCTGTGGTTTTATTCAGTGCTGTACACCTCAGAAGACCCCAAAAGCAGCTTGAAGGAAGTACTTTCACAGACCTAGACTATCACTGCCTACTTTAAAAACACTGTTCCACATCTGTGCTATCAGCTACTGAAGTTGTGCTCCCTTGATGCATACAGCACTTTGAAAGTAAGGTGGAACAGATGTAATTTCACATCACCTACATCTAGGCCCTCAGACTTTGTTGCAGGATATACACCCATATATATTTTGAAAGAGTTCTCTAAAAATTCCGATTAACAACAACAAGAAAGTTTCTCTAAACTTACTTACAGTTCTCTGTAAATATATTTAGTGTTCCCTAGCACCAATATTTTGATGAAGGCAAATTAAAAATAAACCAACAAGAAAACACTGGGTTTTGGATTGAGCTTTGTAACAATAAAAGCGATAGAAGTGTCAAATACAGTTTCAGCGCAACTGTTCCCCACCCCCCTTTCAGTAACAATAATAAATGTCACTTCTTCATAATATCCAAGTACACTAAGAAGGATCTTTATTATTCATTACATTCCATAGCACAGATATAACTCCAGATTGCATTTACTCTGAAAGACTTCAACAGCACATGGGCTACTACATTAAGACTGAAACCTGCACAGGACTCTACATTTTATTTCATATAAGCAGCAACAGAGAGTCACATCATTTTGTAACTTGTTCAAAACCACGAAATTGGAAAAATAACTACAAGGGAATAGAGTTGTCTTTTCTCAGCAATAAATTTTTTTCATGTCTCTACTCATTGTGCCTCTTAGGAGATAAAAAGGAAAAAGATTTAACAAGTCTTATTCACTTTTCACTTAAAAAGTCCTTATGATAGGGATTGCCTCTCTCCTACCACCAGTGACACAGGTGAAATTTTCCACAACAGGCAACCTAATCCTAGCAATTATGCCCTTTCACTCAAACATAGTAAAATATGCTGAGTCTTGCAGGTAGGACAGAAAGAGGGTCATACTGATGAAATGTGCCTGTGCTGAGCATGCCTGGCTCCTGCAGTTTTCAGTAAGGGCAATCTGTTATGTAGAGGACAGCAAGAAACCCCTTGGGAAAAGGGGTAATAATGAATATACCCTTCACATCTGGTTTTAATTTATTTATTTTACACTCAGCCTTCATACAGTAGCAAGAAAAAAACGGTTCAAAAGCTATTGCAAAAAATGAAACCAGATGCTGACTTTGAGTAGTTTTCCATTAATTTCCATATAGTCTGGAAAAAAAACAACAACTAAGCTTGCAGCTCACTAAACAGTATCTTGCAATGGTTCATTAAGTCCTTAACTAAACTGGAAACAACAGTGAGAAATCTAAAAATTAAGTGTACGAAGCTAGGAAAAAAAATCTTGAGCAAAATGAAATTGGAACATAAAAATTACAATTTCCATTTACTGACCTGTTCAACAGCTGTTTTGTCTCCACTTAAGACATAGCTATTTAGAAGAAATTTACACTTACCTGAACTAGAATTCTTGGCCTCTGAGGGGATGGAAAAGGAACTTTATGCATGAAATGGGAAATGTGTCTAGAAGAAAAGAAATGCACTGATTTAGTAGAAATTATAAGCTTAAACTGCTTTACCTCAAGACAAAATCACTGTCAGCAGGAGAATTCATTATATAAAAATGGCACATCCTTATTCAGAAGACAGCAACAAAAAAAACCAACCCAAACAGCTACCAAATCCTACGGTGATCTATTCTGACCTTGAACACCTATTTTTCTACTAGTGACAATCAAAATGGCAGGAGATTATCTTTCAAACTACAAACTTGGTTTGTGAGACTGAAAAATTAGACAGGTTTGTTTTAGTTCATTTAAATAAATTCGTAACGTAGAAATTCTGCTGTTTGAGTATTACAGTATCATTTACAATCCTGCTTCTGAGACTGGCTTGAAATAGCACTGTACCTCAGAGACTAGCACTGGTTACTTGCACAAAAATATTCACAGCTGAGTATCACAGGAAGTCACTAAGTTAATCCATTTTCTTCATTCAAAACACAAATTGTTATGCAAGATTTCTAATGAAAATGTGTGAAAAGTTTTTTGCATATACTACAGCTACAGATAGAGATTAAAAAAAATTTGAGTAAGTTCTCAGCTCTATAAATTGATTAAACTTCCAGAAGTTCTGAAAGTGTAGGGCTCTACAGAATATAAGCTTTCACATGGAAAGAAACTACATGCAATCAGTAGAAACTCAGGAAGAATCAGGTAATCCCACATCAACTGCATACTACAAGCACATACTTTACTGATTTCTACAACTTTTACCATTATTCAGAGCACACCAGAAGACTCCTTTTACATATTTCTGACACAAAACTATGTATTTCACACATATATTTCAATGTAGCTGCATATCATGCCATTAAATGTATGCAAACCCCCCCATTTTTACCATATTTTCAATTGCACTGCCTGTGCAGCCACATGGCAATGAGAACAGGAAAGGAATTAGGCTGGCGGAGGAGCTGGGATTTTGTCTTTATTTCCAGTGCAGGAAGATGGTGGCAGAAATATGGAATATACAGCAAACATCAAAGGGAAAGACTTGCTGCTTGCAGAAGCAGGGCTGGCTGAAAATGTTCAAATACACATGTATGGCACAGAACCTTCATCATCCTTAAAATAGCTGAAGAAACTAGGCTAAATGCTATATTAAGTTCAAGCAAGACAGCGTAGCTATATTTAAATTATGCACAGTAAATTGAACAGTCAGTTTACAAATAAGAGAATCCTCAATAAGCAAATAAATCAGTAAAATAAAAACTAATAAAACAATTTATATTTATTTATAATTTTATTTATTCCCAAAGTTCAAAAACAAAAAATAGTTCTCAGCTGTAAAAAAAATAAATTCATTATTGTATGTTTACAGTATCACAATTTTAAATCAAACACAGCAGATACAAAGTGGAATAAAGAAGTGGACTAAAAAAAATAATAAATCACAAAAAATGCTTGCTCCACAGAGTCAGTGTCTTATAGAACTTACATTGAAGTTTAACCAGAAAGATTGACATGTAATAAAATGAAAAAGCAAATGCTGCATTTGAAATCTGATGCCTTGAAAAGTTCTATTAGCCTAGAAATGTTAAATGGTAACACAGGTTACTTACTTCTCAATGGGTAGGACATGTGGACCAGAAATGGAGTAACGATACAGAAAGGTAAGAAACTTCTTGAAAGCATCAAAAAAAGGCCAGTGAGAGAGCAGACAGATGCATTTATTTGTTTGAACTGTTCTACATGAATCTGACTTGCTCTCAGCTGCAGCTGCTAATCCCAGCTGAGATTTTTGTTTCTCTGAGAGATTCTCTTCAGGATACAGTTCATAAAACTGAATAGCAGCACCATATACCTGCAACAACACAGTTGATTTGAAGTCAATAAATCTGCCTCGACCTTCAAAGCTATCTAACAAACCCCAAACATGCAAGGAAAATTAAGCTTATTACTGCATGAAAAGTCACATTAATTCACCATCTTTTGAAGCAATCTATTCTGGAATATTCTTATGGCTGTGAAAATCCAGACAGTCTATGATTTATTTAAAACAATGTCACATGAGAAAGAGGAATTTATGAAACAATTTAAGTGAGAGAAAAAGAATGATTATACAGAGCACAACTGCAATCAACTGCTCCTACAATTGCCTTTAAAGCTATTTAAGAAATCTTTTATAAACAACTCAAAGCAGTATTCCTCTGACATCCAATTTACTTTTTAGAACAAGTATACACATGTAAGGTTGTTCCCATGCTTGCAATAAAAATAGTCCACTTGCATATATATGCAGTCAGACTTTTTACAGCTCTCTAGTATCAAAGGCTAAGTTGGAAAGCAAAGGAGTGAAGATTTGTATGACCAACAGACCAGCAGTGAAATAAATGCAAGTCACTCTTTAAAACAGTCTGAATTAAACCCAAATGAACAGATTCAAGTTTGTCGACAAAAATACATGCTATCATCGTCACCCTGAACAGACAAATAACCACACTTTTAACCTTCAATTGTTAACAGTTTTTTAATCTTTCAAAATACCTTTTCTGCAGAAGCTCCAGTCAGTACAAATGTGGAAAAAACTGGGAGAGGGTATTTACTGTTAGATGGCCAACATTCAATCGTTGCACCCATAGGTAGACAAAAAAGAGGCACAGATTCTGGTAGTGGGAATGACTCATAATCTTCTTCAGGGTATCTGCATATTAAACCTAGAAAGGCAATTTGCAACAAAGTAGTTATAAAAGGAACACCAGAAACATTTCTAACAGCTCATTCCACAAAAAACACCCAGGAAAATAACGTATGAGCATATACTAACTTCAAAAGATCAGTAAAGTTGCAAATAACCAGGCACTGTAAATATCTGGGAAGGGGCAGGATGCTCCCACAGCCTAAGGAGAAAATCACCTGGCTAACTCATTGGACTGAATTCCTACTTCAGGAACTACTTGTAACTAATTTCTCTTTTTCTGTTTGCAGGTTGTGTGCATTTCAGATATTATTCTAAGAGTTCAAATTCATCACTAATGAGTAAAGATGTAAAATTTAGCTTAGTGTGCATTTCAGATATTATTCTAAGAGTTCACATTCATCACTAAAGATGTAAAATTTAGCTTAAAAATGGTAATCAGAATTGAGAAATAAAAGACTGATGTTTTCAATTATTAAAGCAGTTAATTTTTGACCAAAAAAAAGTTTAATGAAAAATCTGATATGTCAGAGTTTAGATAGATTGTTTTTTTAATATCAATAGAATTGAACAAATTAATTATGCTGTTCTGCCTCAGTTGAGGATTCAGTTAATGTGCTATCAGACTAATGTGGTAAGGCTTTATTTTACACATAGCAGTAAAACACTTCCAAACTGAGACCAAATTTTAAAACAAACTGGTCACGATACATATTTCTAAGACTTATTTTAGGAAATCATTTCAAAATAATTCTTCAGGGAAAGATCACTTTTTGCATAAAGGCAAGGCAGTCTCTTTGTCAAATAATTCTTAATTAAAAACTGTATTATATTAAAAATAAACCTGCATATGACAAATTGAAGATAAGAGAAGCTAAATTATAGTTACATACCAGCTTTATATGATATGGTGTTGGTTTTTGCCACGGACTTTTTATAACATAAATATACTGCTGAGCCCCACTGTAAAACAAAGTAAGTTATTCATTATGTGATGAAGTATAACATGGACAGGACTGAAAAGAGTGGAGGAAAACCTCTTCTTCCTTGGTTAAAAAGATCCATATTCTGTACACAAAACCATAGTGCATTAAAATACAGGAATGTTGGGGCCTGCTATGCTATCCTTCTGCCAATGGCCACCAAGAGGTAACTGAAAGAAAAGGACTGTTAGCTCTGAGCTAACCAATCCGAGACAGGCATCAGCCTGACCTTCAAAGCAAAACCAGTTTATAGACTGAAGCACAAGATTTATAAATTCTTCTACAGGTATTAATTTAAAAACATGTACAGACACATTTCCATTGTCTTCTTTGCATGATACTCATATATACAGCCAGCATCCTGACTTCTGAGGACTGTTCAGAAGTCAGCATAAAGGGCTGCAGACTCAGTCAGGAGATACCTAAATACTCAGTTCTGCAAAACAAAGAGCTGTGACACCTGTATATTTTAGCAGATCTAGCTTTGAAACCTTATTAAGTACATAAAGAAGCTTCCAGTCTACAGCACTCATCACTGCCCATACACAGCTTTCTTCAGTGAAGTTTGTGAAACTGAAAATAACACATAAAATAGTGTTGTAGGTAATAGGGGAGTTTGAAAATAAATCAGAAGGCAGTTGTTAGATACTGAGTTTCCATCACAACAGTAAAATCAGCATCAGAAACAGCCACGTTTGTAAAACCTCCAACTATGCACATGGTGACACAACAGATTCTAAGGACTAATCCAAAGCTGCTGAAGGCAGTATTTCTAAGTCAGCTCTAAAATGAGTACTTGCCCTGAGACTCTCAAAAATACTTTGTTCCAGCAGGAACAAAGCAATGTAATCCTCCAGTTCTTTCAAGCTTTAGTTTATCTTTGGAGAGTGCTTATCCAGATTTATCACCCAGTATCCTGAGAACTGTCACACTCCACAAACATCACCAAACATCAAGTGTTCAAAATTCAAATTTTAAATCTTACCATGCTATTATTAAGATTCTTGTCAACCTTGCAGAAGGTATGTGGGGGGGTTTCTCCTTTACTTGGTATGATGATACATATATCAGTAACAGCCAAGGTGTTCTGTGTCATGTTGTCGGACGCCCGCCGGTAAGTGACGTACACTCTCTGCGAGGAGGCGCTGCCGCTGATGTTGGCAGGCCGACCATAGGGAGTAGTGTGAATTATTTCACAACCCTGCTTTACTCTTTCTTTCCCATCATACAAAACCCTAGTTAGAACGGGATGAAAAGAAGTCAGAAGGTGCCATCTTTTTTTTTTAAACACTTTGAACTCTAATACTATGCTAAGAATTATAACTGAACAGGACTAGTTTAGCAACAGCTCTTGTCTCATCTCTGCTCAAAAGATTTTTGCTGACAAGTTCAGGTCACATTATATCACACTGCACGCCAACAGAAAAGCTTCATGAAGAAACTATACTAGTTTTGCTCACGTATATTTGCTTTTAATTGTTTTGCTTACTGCAAAATAGCATTATTTTCAAGCCTGTTAAAGAATCACTCCCTGATTCTAAGAATGTACTACAACTCACCTCACTGCAATCTGTATTAAGTAAGTTAAGCACCTTATCTCAGCCAAAATACATGCATTAACAATTATAAATGGCTTTGAAAACTCAAAAATGCAAGGCATTACAGCTGTCACTGCAATCCACTCAGTGTGCAATTTGTCTGACCTGGGTTACAGTCTGCTCAAGACAACAAATAACTTCCTGTTTAGAGTTCTGCCTTTTATTTTAAAAGCCTGGTATTTCAATAAACTTTGCTTGGTCATTAGTCGAGTAAAACTGCCCGAATCACCTGCTGAAACAGGAAAAACCCACTCACCCCAGATCAGTAAGTGGGGGCTTATCCCTTGCTCGGCGATAACAAAGGTATATCTGCGGTCCCACCAGACTGCCATTATTGAGATCTGCAGACAGTCCTGAAGGAGTAACATCTATGCATTTATATCCCTGAGGAACTTCCTCCCCCAGAGATTTATTAATTACTGTTACATCTGTAATAGGTTCTTTTGGTTTAGCAATTTTATGGCAAGCATCATTGAAGTGGATTTCTTCCTCTAGTGGTTTTGAAATATCTGTTAATCCTGCGACAACAAAGTAGTCAGCAACACGAGCCCCTTTGTCTTCCATCTTCCATTACAAGAAGCTATAACTGGCAAAAAAGAAATATGTATCAGTATTTTTGAAGCAAATTATCACTTAATATTATTACTAACCGAACTAACAAAACTATGTTTATTTTAAAAAGCAGAACATTTGCAGTAATATAAAAAAACACAATAAGAGAAATCAAGAGAGATTCATCATTAGATCATATAACACTATTTTCAATAACTCATGAGAGTTAATTGTTGAATCTTGGAATGGACAACCCAGCTGGCCTCTTTTTGTTCACTTAGACACTTGAGTAGCTGAACCATCAGGCACAGCAAAATACTGTGCAAAGTTCTACAGATGTTTTACTACTGAAGCTCATGGCTGAGCCAAAAAGCAGCTCAAATGTAGCATATAGTCTGTTACTGCACTTCACTCACAATGACAATGGATCTTCTAAGGCATAAACTGAACTTAATTTGCTTCCTGAATATATGCAACATATACGCAAAGGCTGTCTTAATTATTCTAAAGATACAACTGCAACATTTGCAGCCACCTCATCCTACGGGATTTTACATCGGATATGAAGGCCAGATCTTGGAGTATTTTTGCAGGCTAAACATTGATAACATTTTAGTGTTTTGGGGCTGAGATGCTTGATGTGCAACCCATCCATAGCCAGTAACATACTGTTTTTTACACAAAACATTTAAAACAAGTCAACTACAGACCACTGTGAAACATAAACACCCAAGACCACATGAAGTTTTTTGTAATGGGAAGGAATATACTCCTGATGTTTCTGCCAAATTGTGTTGGAAAATTGCATTATTTCTTCATGGAACATAATGATACAAAAATTCCTTATATATAAATTCTTTCTGTATAGTCTTCTTTTGCAGTGTTTGCTACCAATGCTGTAAATTAACTTCAGCACTGGACAAAACAGTATCTGTAGGATAAAAATGGCCTTGCAAACAATGCAGTGCACTACATCTCAGGAGATTCAGTTTCCTTCGTCAGAGACTCTCAAACACCCTTGCAAGTCCCTTAAACCCCAAGCCTTATTTAATAGTTTGATTTTGCAAGTAAAGAAAATAGTTTCTTCTTTTGCAAGGAACATCGAGAAAGGGGCTGAAAATGTTTAGCTAAGTCACTCATACGTGCTGGACCCTTGCTAAAGTAGCTTCAGGAAGTTTACTGTCATCAAGTTCTAGACTTAAAACTAGACAATATTTAGAACTCCCTTTTGTTGAAATAATTTTGTTTGGGTGTAAAATTTTATTGCAAGAGAAACTGTTACAACACAGGAGTTCAAGAGCTTGCTAACATTCAGAAACTCAAGCAGAATTTAAAGCAGTTGGAATGGTTGGCTCAAGAACTCAGTTTTCAGGCCACTTTTATTCTGAATGCATTACCTTCCTTTATTTTTTGCTCCAGGTAACAAGTATTAAGCCCTATCAAACTTCATACCATCATAATTCTTGGATTTTACCAACAAATCTTCACTACAGCAAGCTAAATAAATTCGGGCAGCTCTCACTGGTAACCAGGGAAATTATGTCCTGAGCTGATACTGTACATTTAATCAAATTGTTCCAAGCTGACCTCAGATTTCCAGCACCAGCCCTTGCTCAAGAAGAATGTCAACTTGTGCCTGATGACCACCACCAACCTCATCCACCACTGCAAGAAAGACAATTCCACCCTCCAGCAAAATACAAACCTATAAAATAAGGGCAGGAGTATCTGACCTGACTCACTTCTGAAGTCATGAGGAAACGAGTAGGGATTTTTATTTTACAGCTATTTACAGCATTCAAGAAAAAGCCAAGACAAACTCCTCAAGTACACAACCTTTCTTTCTGTATGGTTGAAAAGCAATATGGGACTCTTTACAGTATGTGATTACTGGGAAACATTCATCAACATACAGCAGTGTAATATTTGTAAACAACTGCTCAGCTTGTTTTCTGAGAGAAGAGAGAATGCAGTTACAAAACTAAGCTTAATTTAACCTGAATTCAGTTATTTCAAAAACATCTGGGAATATGTTATTCAACAGTATATGAGTAATAACTACAAACTCAAACTTCTCCTTGTACAATATATCCACAAAAACATATTCAAATGTAACCACTGCATATGCCACCTAATATTTCAATTGTACCTCTGGCTTCAGTAAATCCAGAACAGTAGAAAGAAATACACCGAGAGATAAAAAAGTTGTTTTGTTCCTTTTCTCATTAGTATTATTTCACAAAACTACAACAATTTTATTTTCTTACTAATAAGAAATTATCTCAAGTATGACTGTTAAAACTGCGAGTAAGCCTTTTAACTTCAGTGTATGCACAACACACTATTCCAGCTTAATTAGCAAAGACAGCATTACAAATAAATAGAAAGATATACACATTATACTGAAAAATCATACCTATCTCACAATTTAAGACTATTATTTCATATCAAGTTTATACCAAAAGTCTTAAATTTGAACATTCCTTTATTCCCAAAAGCACTTTCAAGAAAAACTGGGACAAGCTCTCCTCATTTAGTCAGTTAAAATTAGAATCCCCTACATACAAACACCTGCTATCACACAAATTTGCTTCCTAAGGTTATAGTAAGTAATATACAAGTCAGCAAGACTTTCATAATTCAATGCAGCTTTTGCAGAAGGGAGAAGAAAAAAAAAAGCCTAGCTGATGTTGCATCATGTCTTCAGATTTCTGCCTTCTGATATAAAGGCTTGCAGCTAAAATTGGGATAAAATACAGAAGACATCAAAACAATTCAATGGTATTATATTCAAGCCAACTTAAGACTTTACTACAGCTTCTGTGATACACAAAATTTAAACGTGTTTACTGTGTGAGCAGATTTATGCAAACTTTGTGTTAACAGTCCCCAGAAAGAAGGTATACAACATGAGCTAATTCAGTGACAAGCAATCATTCTGTGAAAAGCAATTCACATGAATGGAGGAATCTGAATAACTTCTGTAGAAACCATTCCCATGAAGGTATTCCAAAGCATGTTGTAACTACCTACACCCCACAGCACTGCAACTCAACCTCCAGGAAATCAAAACACAGCAGAAGTCACACTGCACATGAGTGTTGCTTAAAGCAGAAGGTCCCATGTGAAATTCAACAACTTTAATGGTGCCACAGTGAGAAGCAGCTACTATTGCTTCTCTGCACTTGAGTCATCTTGGGATGAAAGGCTGCGCTTTGAACAATGCCATGGGATCATAAACATAATGTCTAACAAAAGCCCCTGGAAATAAGTGCAATATATGGGCTCTGAGCCACCTCATGTGGGAGAAAAGAGGGCTCTCTGCCATTTCTAAAAATACAGGAAGAGGGAAAACAATCATAGTCCTGCCACAGATGCACAAATGATTAGCTTGATTATTTTGCTGAAAGACAATGGGTAAACACAGTTTCATTGTTTATTCTATTTCGTTTTCTTTTAATATCAACATAGTTCTTCATAAACATTTAGGAAATATTAATTATTAAATTTTCCCTATCACTGCTGCTGTAATTAGTAGAGGCTGGCATTTTAGCAACTCTGCGGAAAAAAATAATCCGAAAATCTAGCTTTGCAGTCTAACAATAGGAACCTGATGATAGTGTTAAAGATAGCCAGTCTGCTACAAAGTCCAAAAGTCTGCTGCTACAAGATGATGATCAAGAGGCTTACAGGAGTTCCATGTAGCTGACCCTTTTGTGATAAATAAAATACTGACGGGACTTCAATCTCACCACTGAATTCAGAAAGAGCAGCACATACCCCAACTTATTTTGCTTCCAACAGAGTTTTTCTATAAGCTATCCACAACTATCCTACAGAAAGCAAACAAAAATTAAAAGGCCTGATTTTATACCAGCTCACTTATTTTCAGATAAAACAACTAAATCATTGTCCAAACTTTCTGAACATATTTTTCATTTCAATACTATGAGAAGAATCAGCTTTTTCCTAACCACATGACCAGAAATAATGTCCACGTGCCAAATATTCCACCTCTGCAGCAGCTACAGGTATGATGCTTCATGAAGTGCAGAGTTTACTACAGATGCATTACACCATTTCCAAGGAAAAAAATACTGATATAATTCATACATCCTGCTCCTACCCACTGACTTCTGTAAAGGTAACTTGTAAGTGGGCTGTAGAGTAGAAGAACTTGCTCTAGCAGTGCCAGCTTCTTTCCAAGAGCCAAAAGGCTTTCCCAGGTAGCAAAAAGGATTTATTTGTACGGTTTCTGCATGTGCAAGAGATACATAATCCATGGAGGATGGCAGTGAGGACCACCCAACTCCAGTAAAGTAGTCTCACCAGTCACCTCTGGCAGACACAAACATAGCCACTGCCTTTTCATCTTTTCATCTTCCTTGTCTTCATTCCCATTCCTTCCTGCATTTTCCTTTGAGAATATTAAATCACCTATTAATTTGAGTTCCTTATTAGGTGCATTAGCTGTCTAAAGCAGGTGACCTTTTCCTATGCGAGCCTGACTCCAAAGCAGTGGTCTGTTTGTAAACAAGCAACAAATGTCTCCTAGTGTAGGCTGATAATAAGTGCAGGGCTCTGCAACACCTTTTTAAAACAGTTCAAAACTTCATTAAAAATGGTGATTTAAAAAAAAATTTTTTAAGCTTTCATCGGATAATCACATTCCAAGAACTTCCTTCCTTTGAAGGCATATGAAGAATAGATGAACAGACTTACCAATCAGTGACCAGCTTTTAAAAGTTGCCAGTAAAGTTCTAACAGTCCCTGGCATTTCAGTCTCCTGTGTGTACTGCTACACTGTCCTGCTAAGGTAGGCTGCCAGCACACAGGAACGTGGCAGCAAGTCATGCAAGAGCACAGTGAAGTTAACTGGATCAGTCAGTCCTGCCATGGCTGCTCAGAACCATTTCTCAGCCATGACACTGCACAAATCACAGGAGAGCTCAACAGTTTAGAGAGCGTGTGAATAAGCACAGTTACCCATGGGAAAACCTTCACCTCATTCTAGTATTTCCAAGGA